TATGTATGTATATATATATATATATATATGTATATGTATATATATGTATATGTATATATGTGTATATATATATGTGTATGTATATATGTGTATATATATATGTGTATATATATATGTGTATATATATGTGTGTATATATGTATGTGTATATATATATATGTATATGTGTATATATATGTATGTGTATGTATGTATATGTATGTATGTATATGTATGTATGTATATATGTCTATCTATATGTCTATATGTATGTATATATGTATGTATATACAGTATATATATATATATATATATATATACTCACACACATGCAGACACATGTTTTGATAAATTGGGCTTGTGTATTTTTCAGTGAGTAAAGATAGAGCCACAAAATTCTTTCTCAGTTTTAATTTAAATGACCCAAATAGAACATTTTGATACTCCAAATGAGCTCCAACACCTTCAGAAGGCCTTGAATTATTGAGGAGCCAAGAGATCCCAGGCACTCTTTATGAATTACATTTTCAAAACCCTTGTTTAATCCAATGGCATGTTCATTAAAAACCTAAAACTGGGCATTTAGGAACTTTATAAAATATAAAATTTCAGCAACATTGAATATTTAATGAGTTAAGTTGAGCCTTTAATCCACAGGCCTTGTTTAATGACCTTGTTTGAAATGAGTGAAACAAGGCAATGCAAAGAAAACATATATATATATGTTGCTGCCCTGTCAATCAACAATTCAATTCAATTTATTTTGTATAGCCCAAAATCACAAATTTGCCTCAGAAGGCTTTACAATCTGAACACATACAAGCATGTGGATGTTTTATTAACAAAGGCTGCTTTTGGTTTCTCTTCCTGGCTGTAATTAGTTCTAGTCGGAAGCATTTCATAAGAAGCTCATACTGATCCTGACCCCTGACCTGCTTTTAGAGCTGTGGCAGACACATGCACCAGCACCTTGTTGATGTGTGACACCAGTCAGCAGTTTGTTTATTCAGCGTAATCTTTTCATAATCAAACCAATCTGTCCAATTATGGTTTTCATCACAATTATGGATTTCCATTGTAAGGAATCTACAGAGGCATTTGTGGAAATAATTGTAGATTTGTAATGAAGTCTTTTTTGGGGTGAGGTGGGGGTGCATTTTTGCCGGCAGATGAATAATAACAATCTATATATTTCTACACAGAATAGATGAGAAAATAAAAACAGTTGCAAACAAAACTAATGGCGGTTGAACCTGGGCAGAAGCAGTGCAGGTTGGTTCCATAGTTAGGTTACCTATAAGAAAATAATTCAATATCATATAATCCTCATATTCCCATCAGTAAAATGCTACAGAGTCGGACAACTTAACTTGATCAGTAAAAATGTGTTTAAAGCCCCTATATGTGGAATCTGTAATTATGGTAATACTGTATTAATAATTCATCATGACATTCCCAGTGAGGAAGTTTAGTGGCATCCATTGCTGTCTGCCACACTGTCTTGTTTATGCTGCCTCTGGGAGGCGCCAAAGTTGGAAATAGTCATAAATATTGCTATTCTACTTTTATAATATTTATAAATTAAAGTTGATTTTCAGACAGTTTGTAAAAAAAACAACGATTAACTTCTGCCATTCACTGTACTCTCCACTCCGCTCTCTATATATGGGCTGCACACATATAAAAAAAATGACGTAACCTTTCATAATTTTGCCAGGCAGACCCAAAGTCCCTTTTGTGATAGAACAAATATAATACTTTGTCCCCGACAAAGAATTTGTTCAGCCACATCTGATTGGTCAAGTCTGGCCCATAGTCGACTGATTGTCAAATCATGTCTTTTTTTATAGCTCCTTGATTCTTTGAATAAGGCTCCTGAGATGAAATCATCAAATAGTCGACTATTTGGGGTCAACCCTTCTTATATTTATAATTTTAAACTTTGAGATACAATCCTTTATATCATTTTTGAGAGTTTTTATTTTCGACAGTATGTTATCCCCCAATTTCCCTTTACATATTGAAAATATGAGTATAAGACAAACACATTCTTGGTATCTTACATCTTGTTAGTGTAAAGGCTTTGCTTACCATGTAAAAAATCATGATTTGAGGAGTAAAAGAAAATCAGGTAAGCCTTTATCGTATACATAGTTATCTTTTTGCGACTATGTTTCTCTCTCTCCATCCCTCTGCTGCAGTTGTTCAAATGTATCCTGCTTCCAGTTTAAGCCTTGTCAGTTGTGTTTGTTCTCTCTTTGTATTTAGGGACGGCCCAGATACGTCTAGTCCTCAGCTGGGAGTCTTCAGTGGCAACACGGCTTTAGAGTCGGCCTACAGTACCAGTCCGAAGGTCCTGATCCGCTTTCACTCGGACTTTTCAACTGGAGGGTTCTTCATTCTCAACTTTCATGGTGCCGATACACACTCGCATACACTTTGACCTGTAGTTTAAGCTCATATGTATTTGTACAGCATATACAGTACAGTAGATTCGGTTAGACACATATGAACACTCAGGTAGAGGGACTGATATACCAAGAACCAAGATGTTTTCACTGCCCATCTACAAAGTAATGCGTAGTTGTTTTATTATTTCTACATGCCATTATGCATTTGCGAATACCAAACTGATTTTCTCAATCAAAGTTCAATTTTGATGTAGTCCCAGTATGAGTGTGGATAGTGCTTTGCAGTTCCATAACCAGTGAATAGCTATAAGAAACAAGGTCAGAGGCCTTACTAAAAGAGAGAGTGAGATGCTAGGGCATAGGCAGTTTTCTTCACCTTGTTGGTCAGGGTGTGCATTCGTTTTTTTTACCTCAAAAAACAGGTACTGAGGTAAGCATCCACACAAACTATCCGCACCCTCTGCCTTTGATTAAACGTTTAGGATATTATCTACTCTAAATACTACTTGACTTCATCAGTTTTTTAAGGTCAAAATATGGTTTTGCTTCAGGAACCAGTGAATCACTTATTTGAAAAGGACATCCAAATCATCCCCACTTGAAAACACCTCTTTCTAATTTTTTCACTTAGCTGCTGTAGGAAACAAGATTTCTCTTTTAATATGCAGGTAGAAAAATAGAAAAAAACACAGCTTCATGTTGAATATTTAACTGACTGAAACCATTTATTGGAGTATAAATTCACTGCGAAAGTTGTTCTGAAGTTCTTGCGAAGTTTGACACTGATGTCCACTTGTGAATTACAGGAACAGTGTGTAGGATTTAGGGGGATTCATTGGCAGAAATTAAATATGCCATTCATAAATATGTTTTAATCAGTGTAAGAATCGTAGTGCTTTCGTTAGCTTAGAAAAAGCCATTTATATCTACTAAGGGAACGGGTCATCTTCAACGGAGTCCACCATCATTCACCGCAGTCTCATTCACCGCAGCTAGTTGGCGCAAGCACAGCAAGCACGATTGGACAAAAGTGTTTTTGTTGTTGTTAACTTTTCTGCCGCCTGAGAAAAAGCAGCCAGGAGGACAGAGGACAAGAGTATTCACAAGAGTAGGTTCTAATTGTACTAAAACCCTAAAGATACCTATTCCACCCTAGTTCTCCAACACGCTTGGAAAGGGATGGGTGAGCAGGGAAAATGTTCTGTCAAAACAATCACACTACCCCCCCCCCCCACCACTCTGATCACAAGTACAAGAATTTGGACTTCATCGTATGTATTTTAGACATAGTACCTAATTGAAATGTTTTTCACTTCTCTTTTCAGCCTACCGGCTGAAGAAATGCCCAGCTCCCCCTGTAGTGGAGAATGCAGAGGTGATCTATGAAGATGAAGACTTCCAGATAGGTAATTATCCTGATTACTAATAATATGACCCTTTGATACAGTAAAACATTGGTTGACCAGATATTACTATAGGTGAATAAAAGTGCTGCTGTTGCATCGATTTACTGCAGAAATTGAAAAAAACAAACGAATTGTTATGTACATGTACGTATTTTGAAGCTTGTCAAGTTTGATACATCCTTAAGATTAAAATGACTGACAGGACTGACAATCTCATAATCAAGCTTTTAGGAGGTCATTATTCTGCTGAGTGTAAATGACTCTAAATTAACCTACTAATGGCCGACATTACTGTGTACAAGACATGCATAATCTAACTATAGCAGGCTAACATTAGTCTGTCACTGTTAATTATATATTTTTTATTACTGAAGTTGAGCCACTTGCTCCAAGTAAAATCCATTTCGGCTACCACTGTGTGTGCATGTGTATGTGTCACGCTGACATGTTATCTTCTATGTATGTATATATATATAGTGTTCTGTATTCATTGTGTTAAGCTTGACCAATGTCTTTTTTTCTGCTTAATGGACTATGTTGAAATGTAACACCAAATATGGTCTCCTAAGCTTTTGAAACATCTATTTCTGGAGAAATAATCGCTTGTCAAGTTCTCCATTTTCCCTCAGCCCTGTATTATGTGATTTGCTCAACACATCTTATTCTACAGTTTGGTGACCTTTTAGATCCTTACAGGAGCTGTACAGTAATTAAAAAACATTTAATTAAAAGACATTTCATAAAACCTCAGCAAGTTCAATTTACCCTGCTAATGGTTTGCAGAGCCTAGTCGCTACTGGCAAACTATACAACAATATCTCTGCAGAAAACTCACATTTTGAAATGTCAGCTTTTTATAGATTCTGAAAAGTGAGTTGATTATTTTGAATGATTTGTTGATTTTTAGGATTTTTTTGTTTTTGATCTTTTGAAGACACATTTAAAGTGCATTGTTCAAATCCCAGGATAGTTTAATATACTGTTCCTAACAGGAGAAAGACATGTACAACAGTGATCCAAAGAGTGGTAGTACTACAACAGAGTGGTGATTTATAAAGATGACGTCAAATAATTGCCTCTGGCATTACACCACAGTGGCACCATGCAGGTTGCACCTGTTCACAGCGATAGTGAAGGCATTCTCTGTGACAGAGTAAAGACCAATGGGAGCTAGTTCGAGATAATCATACAAAGAAATTTCCCAAGCCCTCAGAACATTGGAGTGAATGTACTGTGACTTTTACATTCACAAATCCTGGCAGAATGGAGTACCTCAGAGACAGCTTTGTTGTCGGTCAGTCTAATAGACATTTGTACAATCTGTGAACGAGTTCAAGAAAAGGCTGAATGTTCTTGTTTGTTCTGTTCAACGATTTTAAAGTTCATTCTGTGTGTGTACCGTATGCCTCCCGGACAAGGTTTGAAGCAAGCATTACGTCCACTTGACAGGTGGTAGTTGCCTGATATCAGAAAGAATTGGAGTGGACAGATTCAAAGGTCTGGACACAAGCAAATGGGGTAGATCTCCACCCCATGTTAAGCGTGTCAAATGTTGCCTCTTAAAATGAAGCATCAACTCTACTTACAAAATAAACATCCTAAAGGGCACCAATGCTCATGTTACATTTCGAGGGTTATTGGTTTCTGTAATTGTTCCTCTTGTCTGTACTAGCTGTAATACCATCCAGTCCCTGCACTAATCAAACGTAATAGATGAGGACAAAGTTTTTGTTGCAACAATGTGCAGTATTCAGCAAAGACCATTTGAGGATATTCTCCTTTTTGTCTTTTTAGTGCAAAATATCCTGGATATGTCAGTATTTAAAAAGACCCGTCAGTGGTGATGGTAAATGTTGTCCACTGAAGAAATAAATAAATAAAATGCGTGCTACATTGATCGAGAAAGCTGATTTCTCCTGCTGCGGAGCTGTGCTGACCGGGCCACAAATGTATCAGGATGCCTTGCACATGAGCGACAACTTTGCTACGTCTGATAAATAAACAAAATATACTCACAAAATTTCAATGAAGCAAATATTCTCACACCTAAACAGAAAGATACAAGCCTACACCTTCTGAATTCAAGTTTCTCTCTTACACCAATGCAGACATGCTTATTTGCCTTGTTAACATCCTCTGCACTCATATTTTGGATTTCCATTTTCGCTGTTGGAAACATAGCACAAGCAAAGAGAACAAAGACCTTCATACCGAGTACGTCACTGTCACGTCACTGGTATACGGAAGAGCAACCGATTTTGCAGCAGCTCAGCAGAGACACAGAGAACATCAGTGATATTAGCAGGTGTTTCAGCACTATATACCTAACTCAAATAGTTAGAGATAAGGTTGAAAATAAGCACATTTTGCCTTTAATAAAAAAAGCAGAATCTACCTTTTAATTTTGATTTGCCCCGGATTTTTACTTGTGCAGTCATCAAGATGCTTATTCTGCAGAAACACTTGTTACACGTATAATCTGTGATGACCTGATAGGGTTTTTATTATTTTCCCGTGTCAGGTGATATTGTGAAGTACCGCTGTTTGCCTGGATACACATTGGTCGGAAAGGCGGAGCTGATGTGTAAACTCAATTCCCATTTGCTTTTTGAAGCCCCAACCCCCACATGTCAAGGTAAGGCAACTCCTGAACCATATACAGATATACCGTATGTGCATGTCTATATGAAAATCATATGGGGATACTGAATCAAAATAGATTGAATCTTAACTTAGGTTGCGTTGTTTAAACATTTTCCTCAAATAGATCTGAATACATTCTTTACAACTAAAAAATAGCTTCTGTTCTGTTAAAGTGAATTTTCTCTATGTGTACTCCTGTTTGTCATTTGTCTGTAGAACAGAAATGTATGTGTGTTTCAACATTGTACAAGAAATATTAACTTGACAGATTAGATGTTAAAAACTATCAAAACATTTTCATTAAAAAATTGAACCCCGGCGATTTACAGTTTAACTTTGATAAAGTTTGGGGCTTCATAAGAAACAGATAGAAAATCAATACAGAGTGAAATATTTTGACATATAATTAAACTCCAAAACATCCAGATTCTACACTTTCCATACTGTAACTTGAGGCGTCTTTTCGTTAGACCCTCCGTGCCTGATAAAGACCCTCCGTGCCTGATAAAGACCCACATCTTTCCAGGCCCCTTACATTTGTTGACAAAGTTTTCTCCAGAGCCGCAGGAGATTAATCATACAGCTGTTTACCCAGGCTAAAGGATACTCCGCATGAATAGTAAGTGGATATTGAGGTGTGAAATTGATGGAGATCCCCTTTAATCCATTGTCTTGAAAATATATCTTACAGTTTTAAAAGACAGATCACCTCTCCACCCATTGTTCAAAGCCTTCATAGACAGTAAACCATGTAATGTAATGGTTACCATTATCACACAGAATTTCAGATCTTTATAGAGGAAGGTATCGTTATCTCATCAGGGTCTGGGGTACATTTTCACCAAGATTTAATTTTGAATGCAAAATGGTGGTAAATCACTGTAATGGTTTGAAGGAGGCCTCTTTATGGAAAACATAACCCTAAAACCCACATTCTCTGAACCAAACTATTCTCCAAATGTTGTCTCAACATGCAATAAAGACCTTTGAACACCCTTCATGCTAATGTTTACATACATTTAACCAGTAAGGATATTAATACAAATATCAATCCTGCTGCTTCTGCTGCTGCTACCCACAGGTGAACGAACTATCAAGTCAAGATGAAATCCATTATAGAAGAGACATACATTTAGACATGTCAGAGAGGGAAAAGCACAGGTGAAACCAATTGTGTTTGGTCCCAGTAAGCCACGCCAGTGAGCCAGCATGCACAATACCAGGACCCTGGAACTAGCTCACCTAACTGGACTGCAGTGGTTTTTAATGTTGTCAAATTACATGTGGGCTATTTCTTCTATGACATGCCAAAAAAAATCTGCTGCCAGAAAGGTATATTAGGCACGAGAGTCAATACATCAATACATTTTGAAAATATTAAATTGTTGTGCCAAGGTGAATACAAGTTTGCAAAGAGTTTGCAAAATCAGCAGAAATGCAATCCCATTGGCACCGACAGTCCTAGAGTTGTGTGTTGAAAATGTTGGATGAAAACTTAAAACTCTGTCCACTCCTCATTACCCTGTAATTAAAAAGGTATTGAAGATTTAGTAGTACAGCGGTTGATTGTGGCATGAATTTGAGTTTTAATTCTAAAATGAAAGAGACATCAGGAAAGAAGCACTTGATATTCTCAGTTCAGCAGTATTAATACATTCACACTGGGAAGTGCTGGTTGCAGCTCCTCGCATTTTTTATGAGACAACTGAATATTGATTTGAATTTCTCTTTTGAGAAAATTGTTGAAGAGATGCTCAGCCTTCACCATCATGTGTGATGAACAGAGTGTCCTTTCCATTATAAAGCAGGGTCAAAGGAAACCAGCACTCTTGTAAGAGAACATGCAACCAAAGTGCTTCCCCACACAAGAGCAGAACGATTGGCAGAGGCTCGGGCCGTCTAAATGGGCAGAGAAAATGGACATGTGGCCTTGAGATTCTACACATGCCGTCTTTGGCTCAACATGACCCCTAAGGCATGAAAGCAAGTTGTATGAAACATACTTTTCCAAAGGTGTTCTCTTTATGCATGTTTGTTGGAGAAAGGATACAGATACAAGTAGTAGGCAGATAAACAGGACTGGAGAGAGGGATGGAAAGGATGCAAATTGGGAAAGAGTTGCTGGAAGCTAGAAATGTACAAAATAAAACTCTGAAAAGTTTTCACTGTTTTGATCAGTCTGACTGGCTTTTGTTTATTACCCTTCCAGCCCAGTGCCCAGCCAATGAGGAGCGGTCTTTGTCATCAGGAGTGATACTAAGCCCCGGGTTCCCTACTAACTATCCCAACAGCCAGACATGCTCCTGGCTTCTACATATGGTTCCAGGTACAGTGTGTGATGATGGGATGCAACCAGTTTGTGTCCAGACTGCTGTTTGTATGTGTAGGGGTGTATTTTTTTTTTTTTGCGTGCCTGTGTGGATGTTGTACAGTAGACTGTATTGTATGTACAGTGTATGGAAGTGCTGGTACTGTAAAATATAGAATATGTCAAGTGATGCTTGCAAGGCTGTGTGTGCATATACAGTATGTATGGGCATTAGCTGTTTGGGCATAAATATGTATAAAGGTTTGTGCATGCCACCCTTCATTTGGTTGTGAGGTATACTTTATATTGCAGGTTTTTGGACGTGTTTGTAAATTATTTGTGTTGTTTTCCAGGTTACACCATCAATATCTATGTAGAGATGTTCCACAGCGAGAAACAGTTTGATGAACTGGAGATTTTTGATGGTATACAAAGCTTTGCCTCTCTCTTTTTGCTATACAGACACAGACCGTCTTTCTCTCTCACACACACACACACACACACACACACTCACATGCAGCTTTAATTCATGTTTGTTTATGAAAAGTAGCACAACACTTAATAAGATGCACAACACTTAATTCTCATTTGCGGTGTTAGGAATTTCCCCCACAGGAGTTCCAACTAGCTTGTGTAACAGTCAATTTGAGTTTGTGCGTGCGTGTGTGTGTGTATGTGGAATTTAACTTTCTTCTACTTTATTTATTCATTTTTATTTACATAGTATTATTAAACACTTTATACAACTTTATATAACCAGTGACAACTAACATAGTTTTGTTAGGATTTTTGCCAGGATCAGAATATCAGTTCTTCAACTCAAGAGGCCCACTCACAGAGCCCACAGCTCAGTTTGTAAAACAGCAAACGTCATAACAACCCGTCAAAGCACAGATAAGGTCTTACCTCCTTTAAAAATATGTTAATTCACAAACAGGGATGAGCATATATAATACTAATACCCTATGTGTATCCCGCTCAGCGCTGTCTCTTTGTATCTATCTGGTCCTAAACAGCTGTCTTTGGTGTTCCCGACAGCGATGGCATCATTGTGCAGTAGATGGCTGTGACTGGAGTTGTTTCTGAACTTACTGCAGGCTCCAATCCACTGCTTGGTCAATTTGTGGTCAATAAACCTGAGATGAAGCAAAACAATTTGCTTCAATCAGAATCATGTAATTTGGAGGTACTTAGCAACTTAATGATGCTGTCACCTTCATGTGCTGCGTGTCACAGTAACAATAAAACACATTCTGACTGCAGCATATTGTTCATCTCCGTCTCAGGTATATTGGAATTGTAAAATTTCCTGATACACACATATGAAAGAAGAACACACACCGTGCACTAAACTAAATATTTTACATTTATGCTTATACATGAGCAGATACAAATATACAGTGTGCTGTACACACGTCTGAAGTGTCATCCACTTTATTCTCTAGGATCCTCAGGACAGAGCCCGTTGCTTGTCGCTCTAAGTGGTAATCACTCATCTCAGCTGAACTTCACATCTAAAACGAACCAGCTCTACCTACGATGGTCCACTGACCATGCAACCAACAAGAGAGGATTCAAGATACGATACTCAGGTACATACCATATCTTTCATTTTCTCTAATTGTTTTTGTTCATTGCTGTTCATTCATCAGCTGGTTATGCAAAGTCAAACACTATCTTGTTATCTGTTAAAGATATAACTTGTACTCACATTGTCGGTTGCTGTTTGGAAACACAGCTCAGCAGTGGTCGAGCAAGAGTGAATGAAGAGAGGGACCAGCATTAGTGAGAATCAGAATAATACAACTTTATTTTCTAAGTGATTTACTGCGGTTGCATTCTAAAGCACAAATGAACGCATCCATACCTCCTCATAAACGTGCGGGGAAGGTGCCGGATTTTGAATGAATGCAGCCCAAGGCATGCTTCAGGCCAGGTCTGTGAGCCTCGGTACACCAAGGGGCATAACATAACAAGGGGCATGACATAGCAGAGGTGTTGGACCAGGGAATGAGAACGGGCTGCATACCCAGTTTATTAGCTCGGGATTTCACCCCCATGTGGGGTCCAAATGCTCTTTGCTGATTCCCAGGAGAGTCCTGGACATAGCAAATTAATAAGAAATGAGAAATAAATTGACAGAGGGCAGGATCTCTGCAGATACATCGCCACACACTATTAGTGGGTCATGAGGGATTATTCTGTACCTGTCTATACTTTCTTTTTTAGGAAATTGTTGCATATTATACCTTTAAAAGCATAAAGATAAAGCTTGAAATTAAATGTAAATCTGCACTACTTGCATGTCAGGGAGGAAAGCTTCAACTTGAGTTTTTTCACACAAACTAGAAGATCAGTCTCCTACCAAGTCAAGAAAACTCTCAGCTGTCTCCTCTGCTTTATCTTTGCTTTCACACTAATGAAATTGTATGCTGTGTTGAAAAATCTTCGACTAATGTTGGCTGAAGGGATTTGTCTCCATTAACATGAATAATCAACCCCAACGCCTTTCTTATCGTGAAAATGAATTGATGCATCAAGGATGTAGGTACCTGAGCCGTGATCATTTAGAAGACACTCCTAATGGAAAACTTTCTTTTATTGCATCAGGCCAATCCACTTAGTTAATTTGAATCACTGTGTTTCAGAGTGTATTATCTGTATTTATCAGCAGGTTCTTGTGGTGCTCTGATCATTAGCTTTGTTCGGATGGGGTTGTGAAGTTCTTCAGCTGCTTTTCAGTCAGGGGTATTCATTTGTAAACAATTTGTGAAATTTGTTTCAGTCATAGAAATACAATTTACAGAGAGACCGATCGTGTTTGGACTTGAGAGAAGAGTGTCACAAGGTCGGTCTCCTGGCTCTCTATATTGAAAAAAATGTGTGATACATTTTAGTTTGTTGTTTGTATCGGAACAATCGCCAAAGTTATAGTATTGTTTCTTCCCCATGGGTGTTGCCGTGCCCTGACAATGACGGCTATACAGAGAACAGGAATTTATAGTATAGTTCATACTGTATACACTTACACTGTTAATGCTCTGGTGAGCTTTATATTAAAGCACACCATACATATTGTACAGTATGTATGTGTATGTTTATCAGTTGCTGACAGTTTAACATGTACTTCATTATCAAAGGCCTATTTGAGAATTAAGACTTGGTTTTAGGGATAAAGTAACAATTACGTTGAAGTTTCGAGTCAAGGGAATGTATTACGTCAGAGGCCTTGTTGGAGGCATTGTTCTTAATGGTATCATATTTATATATCCACTGACCTTTCTAAAAGCAACAATAGCCTCATCGCTTGTGCACATGCTTCATAGTGATTCACTTTGAAATTCCACTCCTCTCTTACTATCTCAGTCTCTCTACTGTATTGGTTTTGTTCTCTTTTTGTTGCTGCTTCAATGCGTCTGTGACGTCTGACTTGGGTCAGGCTCTAAACTATTGTGGGAGTTAGACGTTTTAAATCGGCATCTGTAGTAGTATCAGTAATATGTGCCTCAACATATTTTATATGTGAGAGCAAAGCTATCACAGTTCTCACTTAAACATGTATGAGTCAGCTCATGGTATAAGCAAAAGTATATACGTTATGTCTCCCAATATAGCGTGTGTCATTCTTTGCCTCTGCATTGTCCATTTTCCTGCAGCTGCTGGACAAAGACTGTACTAACCCTTTCTTTTCATTTTCCAGAATAGCACATTGCACGGGACATGTGTTGTGCATGTTGTGCTTTCACATGCACAATTAGAATATTTACAATGTTTTGTTGGACAGGACTTTCTCTTCCTCAATTTCCCACTGGGATTAATAAAGGACTGCACCTGTCATCTCATAATTGAAAGACAGTTAAATATAGGTGTGATGTGTCCAAAATTAGTTGTTTTTTTTTTCAAAGAAATCTCCCAACAATTTGAGATTTTTCTTTATGTAGGAATTCAAATTCAATGTTTCCTGTAGCCGGTAACAGAAGTAATTTCAACCCCAACAGTCCCAATCAGATTGTCATTGCAATTCAGTCTTAAACAACTGATCCTCTGATATGGACGCTCTGAGATAGATTATATTCTAATACCCAGGAGGATTTTTTGTCCCTTTATCAGAATCATAAACATTCAGTAGTAAGGAATTGAAAGACTGGGCCTTCATCCCCTGAGTGGATATTTCTGCACCACACATGGTCATGTTAGAGAGAAATTAATGATAACATATGAATGTAGTGGTGCAAATCAAACTGATTGATTTTGGAGTAGATATAGTGAGCAAAACAAAGGTCATATGACTCTTTGAGGAGAAGGAGAAACAAGATGTTCCAAGAAGACAAAAATATTGCTATACATTTCAAGTACTTTATTTGCTACCAGTTTTCGAGTAAACTGTTTGTATAAGGAACTTGTTTAAAGGCTTTAAATCTGTATATGTTGATTAACTCACAATGATGCTGCTGCCAGCGGTAATGCCAGGAGGGACATAGATGATATTTCATATGTCTATGATCCAAAAAGCCGGGTAATGCCATATTGTTTCCAGATGCACCTTTTTTTTAAACTAAAAAAACCCTAAGGACCTGACTTTCAGTTGTCTCTCGTGCTAATTATTTTCTGCATAGAAAATGAATTAGAATGGTAAGTGGTAGAGTTTCCTGTGAAGTGATAAAAACACAGAGAAATACTTTTTTATTAAATTGTTCCTCATCTGTCCCTCTTTGTCCCTCTGTCTCTCCAGCTGCCTACTGTAGCATTAATGATCCTCCTGTGAATGGCGGCGTGGTCAACCGAACCAAACTCCGGCCAGGTAGCAGGCTTCAGTTCTATTGTAATCGTGGTTACCGGATGATAGGCTCAAGCAATGCCACCTGCAGGCTCCGCCCCAATGGGCTGTTCCAGTGGGACACGCCCCCACCTTTTTGTCAAGGTAACATATGAAACACATTCTTCAAAAAAAGTTGACAGGTGTTAAAACTTTTTATTGCCCTTAAACTTTTCTGTCTTTGTGTTGCGGCAGCCGTCTCATGTGGAATCCCTCAGTCGCCGGGCAACGGCAGCTTCCAGGCTAACCAGTACACCGTGGGTAGCCAAATCACCTATCACTGTAACCTTGGTTTCCAACTTGACCCTGATGTTCAAATGACAGCAGTGTGTTTGGAGGAAGGCAGCTGGAGTAATGCCGCCATAGCACCCAGATGCCTACGTAAGTTTATGAAATGAGTTGACAAAAAGTAAAAACATCTGAGAGGAAAACTTCACCCTTAAAAATGACCATTTGTATCACAATTTGTCACAGTGTGTTACTTGGAATTATTGATGAAAACTTTGTTTTTCTGGCATGCCTCTGCAGTTAACGCAGAATTTAAAACACTTGCGCCTGCACGAGCAATAGACGGTAGTGGCAGAAATGTTTTACATAGTAAAACCCCGTGTTTAACATCACATTGCAATGTGATGTTAAACACGGGGTTACTAGTGGACGCATGGAGACGTAAAAAAAAGGTAAACACAGAGGACGGCTCACCTGTGTTCAACCTGTCATATTAAATGTACTCAGAAACATTAAGGATTAAAGATGGAACACAAAAAAACATGAAATCAGAAGATATTTATTTATTTATTCATCAAATATTTGATTTTGTCATTGAAGCTGTTTTGACAAAAACAAGTAAGTATATTATTTGGAATTACCTCTCATCTTCTGAGGTAAGAGCCTGGAAGACGTTGAAATCAGGGAGTAAAAAATATAAATAAATACCCACAATTGCACATCATATTTTTTTTGTCGTTGCAGCAAAGTGCTATCCGATTCGTATTTATACCATTTCAAGCCCTCACAGTCTCTCACACTCAACCATTTACCAGGTGACGTCAGTAAGTCCTTGAGGGTTCAGGGTTTGAGGCTTTACTAACTAAAAAAATTAGTAAGTGGATCTTAGATCAGTGGATCTTAGATCACTTCATATTCAAATAACTGTGGCCATGGTCAGTAATAAAATTTCATATTTCATTCAGAAAAGGTATATGACCAAAACATTCTGGTGACATCACCTATACACATTATAAGATTATAGATTTTAGTGATTTATAATTTAAAAATTATATATTATAGAGGTTCATGTGTTATTTAGTGCTGGCATGTATGTAAATCATATGGCAGCAAATAGCTTATGATTAATGACATAAATAAAGCTTGAAAACCTTACTTGAATGTTTAATTTAAATGCAATTTGATTAAATATTGTCTTCCAGCGATCCACTGCCCCAGCACAGATGGCACCTTGTCAGACCACATGACCTCCCGCCTGCTCTCTGGTAGTTTGGAAGAGTTTGGTTCTATGGTGATGCTGGAATGCTCAACAGGTTACTATCTGGGTGTGGGGCATCGGAGTCTTCGCTGCCTTGCCAACGGGACCTGGGAGGGCTCAGATGACCTAGCTACATGCAAAAGTAAGTACAATACAAACACCGTTGTGGCTCTCCAGTGCAAAATAAATCTCAACTGCTGCTGTCTTATAATCTGACCTCTTGCCCTCTAAACGAAATAATAAAACTCCACTATGATACTATGTTTTGTGCGCTTGTTAACCTCCCCCGGCACTCTAGATGACATATAACTATTTATGAGTCTACGCCGACTCCGAGCATTTATTTTATTACAAGAGATTCCCTTTATAATGGGTACACATATATTCAAATACCTTTATATGAAATAGTAGATAGAAACAGTCCTTTGTAATCATTTTAACTTCTGATGTGATTGTCACTGAAATCAACAACGTTTAGGGATGGGCAAAAGACACCATATAAACCTAGGGATAAAAAAGAAACCCCATACAATCACACAGACACACTCCACACACAAAGACACATCTACATGAACAGGGAACCCATGCAGACAAAAAGACAAATATCAAAAGAATAAAACTGCATTTCATTTGCTGCCACAACCTGCCACGAATGAGTTATCAAAACAGCGTACCCAGCCTGTTACAAGCAAAACAGTTTCGGAAAAGTCAGAGAAAGTTATTCCTCTGAGTACCCAGATAGCATGTGTTTTTCTTGTTTTGATTGGAAGCACGCCAGCATAACACTAATGCAGGGTCGCTTTGCTCTCATCCGTGCATTAGGGTGCATCAGCCTTTCAGCTGGAATCCTTAACTCTGCTAAATAGTCTTTGCTTCAATAAAGGACAAACCTCAGCGATGTTTGTGTGAATACTTTTATTTCTGAACTTCTACCAACAATTTCCACCACAGACCTGGCGACGAGGATGTGGTGGAAATTGTCTGTAGAAGTAGAACGACCCTGCAGTATAAAAACAATTACTTATAGAGTGTGTAAGTGTGGGAAGGGAGTGGGTGGCCATCATTTGCAAGTCATATGAAGGAAAGAGGAAAAATACTGCATATGAAGACAGTGGACATTTACTGAATCTTCTGCAGTGGTCAGCAGTGAAGCGCACCGCAGCTGTTAAAAATGATCATCATCGGCTGTATAAATCCAAGATAACATCAAAAAGCATGAAAGAACGGCACAACAGAGCCTCAATATATTTCAATTATATCTTCTAATACTGTGCATATATATCACCAAGTACGATTGTAGTTTTTATATAGTTTCTGTATGTAAGTGAACAGGACAGTGCTGTCAGGCCTTCTGCCCTCTCCAGTCACTCACCCCTGTCTCTTCGATAGCTGTCAGTTTCAAGCGGTTTCACGTCATTCAGATGCAGAGAGACAGTGGGCTTTTTAGGAAATAGTTACCGCAGTTCGCACCTCAGTGACCTTACACCTGGCTACGGCCATGCTGCTCACACCAGAGGTGCATTTCTCTGCACCTGTCAACAAGCAATTCTGCTCCTCTGCTCTTTTTTCTCTCTATCTTGCTGTGTATCTGTTCACTCCAAAGATAATGCAAACAAGTTTGCTAAAATATTGGTCGGGACAATTCTGTCCTCCCAAAATATTGATAGGGACATGTCTCTACCGTCCATATGCAAACCTACTTAAAGGGAAGCTTGAGAGTGAGTGACTTTCTGTCTTTGGGTTCATCCATTCCCCTTACCACTTTATTCTTATTGAGGTACCAGGGGTATCTTTACCGTTGCACATTGGGACTGTGATAGCTATTTTGAACAGAATGCAGCCTCTGCTTCCTAAATGTGGGGTAAATCTGAGCAATAGTGGAAGATTGTTTTTTCAAATAGTGTTATAATGCAATGTGCCTTTGCTGCTTCTTTTATAAGGGGAAGTTTTAAGTGAGCATTGTGAATAAAAAAAAAAAGAAAGATTAAAAATGAAATGTATCTTGCATGAGAGCAGTGGTTTTCAAACTTTATTTTGCTACATTTTCAATGTATTTCTTCATTTTGTCTTGATCCGGTATTTGAGTTGACCTACCTAACACTCCAGCAGCTCAGAGGGATTTGGCAATGTAACAGTTGTGTCTATTCTTCAACTTGGCCACTGGTTTGAAAACATGTCTCTGAGGATATTAAGGAAAAATAAGATCTTAAATCCTGTGACCTACATCTAGTTCAGCCAGGTATTGCATTGGAAAACTACATTTACAGTGTTTGAAACAGGACGACTTACAATGTTATCTTACCTACAGTAACACCATGACGATTTGGCAACATCAACCACTTCATATTCAGATTTGTGAAAACACAGAAAATATAACAATACCAGTAACCGTACAATGCTGTTTCTAATTCCCAGTGTATTTCTATCACAACCATGATCTTATCATATTTGTTTTTTTATTTAGTCATCTCCTGTGGTGAGCTTCCTTCTCCACCCTTTGGGACCAAACTGGGCACGTTGACCACATTTGGAGCAACTGCAATCTTTATGTGCAACCATGGCTACACGCTGGTGGGGTCACATGTCAGAGAGTGCGGTGCCAACGGGCTGTGGAGTGGTGCAGAGACCAGGTGTCTAGGTAAGGTTCTTAAATGTGATAGGGGGTACAATGTGTTGTTGTCTTTCCCAATGCCATTTTGGCCTAAAAATTAACAATCTAATCAATTATGAAAATAAATTCAGCAGGCTGAATGGTGTGAATCTTATTTCTGAATACATTAAGGGCTTGATTTAGACCTTCAGTAAGCACTGACCAGAGATGATTAATCCTGATTTTGCTTACTGTACCCACTCTACTCCAATGATTAAGCCTTGAAGTTACATGCCTGAATAAGAAGACTTACGCAGGATGCATTTTAAATTAATGCATGTATTAATCAAGTCTACCTACACATTATTCATCTGAGATTCTAAAATATACCTACAAGTTCATGAAAGAAGAGTTTAGATTTGACGAAATCACAATTAAATCACTGCTACAGACGTGGACTTTATGTGGTGAAATGACAGTTAGCTGTGCTGCTTTTGTCAACACATGCACTGGGTTGGGTTTGAAAAATTGCACATCAGAATGTTGTGTATAAAAAGTGATATCATTTTCTGATTTCCATTCAACCGTAAGTGACCAACCTCGATAGTGTGATTGTAATTAAGGTCTGTAGGTTTAGTGTCATGCTGACATAAAAAAATCACAAATGTTTTGTAATGAACAGATCATCATGGTCAAATATTTTCACGAGGCTGTTATGAGTTCTACAATCCTCTTATGGTATTCTGTTTTTAATTAATTTATTGAAGTATCTTAAAAGCAAGCAAAACATCTGTTCCTCACAATTTGAAAAAGGGAGTGTGTGACGTGCAGCACTTTTACATATTCATCTGTGTATTCAGGAGGCGCAAATATTGACGACACAATTAATTACAATTTGCTTCGGAAGGACCCTCATACACTTTATTGCTATAAACAGTTTTGGTATTCAAGATAAGACCACGTTTAAATCTGAGTGGTTTTATAAAATCAGGCATCTGGGATAATGATTTTGAGTAGATTGTGTTGAGAAAACGGATTAAAATATCTGCATTACATCAAAAGTACTCTGCAATGAGTTTTGAAAACAATAATCAATGTTCTAGATGCTTGTTTTCACAGCATTAATCATAACTCGAGAAAGTGTTTTATGTGTGAAGCATTTCAGAAAAAAAACTATGTTAAATGCTCAATAGATCAAAAGGTACTAGACCTCAGTCATTGACTTCATGAGGCACAGAAACATGGGGCGAGGGTTGACCGTGAAACACAGGTGATTGGTCTAATAGTAGTTGAAACGGTATTGAATATAATTAAATGATTCTCTTTACCTCAGGTCTAAAGATGTGTCCTGCAATGTGCTCAAGTTTTAAGGAATCATGAAAGTATGTGACACTTCAAGGCCACTTAGAGAACTCAAGGAAATTGTGTTAATGATCTGATTTTTAACAGACCTTTAGTGCTGTGACAGAGCTGTGTTTTCTTTGAACATTGATTTGCACTGATGAACTACTGAGACAGCTCTATTACATTGTTTGGTAGTATCTAACTGTTGGGACAATGAGTGAGAGTGTGGGAACATTGGACCAGCACTGATGACTCTGAAGCCAAAGATAGGGAAAGTGGCTTTAAGTTGTTTATCATTGTACTGCATTAATCTCTATCATTTTTTCTCCACAGCTGGTCACTGTGACTCTCCAGATCCTATAGTCAATGGGCACATTAGTGGAGATGGCTCTAGTTACCGTGACACAGTGGTGTACCAGTGCATGTTAGGATATCGCCTAATTGGCACATCAGTCAGGATCTGTCAGCAAGACCATCGCTGGTCTGGAACAACACCCGTTTGCGTCCGTAAGTTCTTTATGAAACAAGAAACATTGTATACTGTACAGTATGAAGATTCATTGCTCTTTCAGTTCATGTAATATAAAGTAAATGGGGTTGAAATTGTTCTTTCACTTCATCTCTGCAGCATATGTTCCAAAGAAAAGTTGAAAATACCTCAAAATATCAAGTCAAAAATAACACAATGCTGCAATGCTTTTTCCACTCCTCAAATTTCTCATCATACTTCTCTCTACTCCCTCAGCTATCACCTGTGGGCACCCCGGCAACCCAGGCAATGGACGGACCAATGGCAGCGAGTTCAACCTAAACGATGTTGTCAACTTCACCTGTAACAAAGGTTACATCCTCAGTGGAAATGCTCGTGCTCAGTGCCGACTCAACGGACAGTGGAGCAGCCCACTACCTGTCTGCAAAGGTCACAAATATGGTTACAGATTTATACCCATGGACATCATGTAGTTAAATCAGCTCTTCAGATTTTGTGCATACAAGACAGATGGCGTTGGTTTTTTCCCCGTTTCTCTCCTAGTATATGTTTAGAACTAAAAATGGTAGTCGTGCACACATGCTTTGTTTCTGGTGCCTTCCCATTTGTTTTCACTCTCAAATGATTTGATTGAGATAACATTGTTTTACCGTACTTACATTGCCACAGGCAACAGTAAAATGTCAGCATAAAACGATAAAACCATGCATTTTAGATGGTCAGCATGTATTCTGTATTTTTTGGCCCGATTTGCTTCCAGCTACAATATGTCAACTGGAACATTTTGGCCAAATCTGCTGCCAGCAGAATGTAAAATTGAGAACTGAGTAATTGTAGCGTAATCACACTCTTAACATCGAGCTGCATTCATCCACAATCAGTGTGGTGTGTCTCTAAATAGACAAACAAATTCATACGTGCGCACACACACAGCTGGGTACATGTCCAGAGACCAGTTCTTCTACTCTGCTAACCATGCGTGGTCGTTACACTACAAGCCTCCCCAGACCTCTGGTAGTGTAACAGTTATGCTATACTAAGACACGCAGACACAGGCATTGTGCACAGCCTTGAGAGCAGATCGATTCAACTGAGTTGCTCACATGGGTTTTCCATTGAGGGGATTTATCCTTGCTTTCTGGCTTTCTCCATCTCCCTCACTTTTTCTGTTTTATCCCTCTCTCCCGCTCTCTCCCAGCAGCAGCTGTCAATTATGAGACTGAAACTTTCTTTGTTCCCATCGGGTGCCAGACACACACACACACATCCATGTCCCCCATGGACTTACATTTGAGTGAATGTCAGTCTCCCCTGTCACATGTGGAAAATAAAACTCCACTCTTATTGGAATGGCATCCACCCAGACAGCAGGCAGAGTAGAAGTGACCAGAGGAGGGAAAAGAGAACAAAGAACTCCAGAAAACAGTTGACGCGGTATGACAAAAGAGCAGTTTAGAGATGACCACAGCAACAAAGATATGATTTTGTAACACTAGGATCCAGGATTTTGTACCCTAAAAGTAGCCAAGTTGGTTGATTTATCTCCGTCTAAAATCATTCCCTAGGTACTTTATAGTGCACTATATTTACTGTACACAGTTTTATTTTAGTGCCCCGAGTGTGAAATTTATGCACTGTATAGTATCCTCAAATATTCCCACAATGGAGCAGAGAAGTAGCCCCCATTACATATCCACTACATTACACTAACAATTCCAAAATACATGGGTGAGGCAAAATGATGACGAATAATGCATGTCTAAAATATCAATTTACTGCTCACTTGAAAGCAAACTGTGATTGAGTGATTTTCGAGACAGCCAATGTTACTCAAGATGTTATTGTCATCAAAAAAATAGTTATTCCAAATTGAGGAAGATTGGCAAGTGTCTTCTGTTCTTTTCTGCTCTCTCCTCTTGTCTTCTCTTGTTATGTTTTCCCTTCTCATCTCTTTTCTCCTCTTCTTTTCTCTTGTCTTGTCTTCTCTCGTCTTGTCTTCTCTTCTCATCTCTTTTCTCATGTCTTTTCTTCTCTTGTCTTGTCTTGTATTCTCTCCTCTCTTCTCTTCTCTCTTTGAGTACTTGTTGTCTTAGTACAATCTACTGTATATCCATCTACATCCATGTGAACCACTTGGACCAAAACAAAGTGAAGAAACATTCCCTTCAATAAGACCTACAGTATTTAAATAGGTTCTAACAGTGTCTTCTGCTCTCCTTTGCAGTGGTAAACTGTTCTGACCCTGGCCATGTGGAGAATGGTGTGCGCCAGTCTGGCCTACGTTACCCAGAAGTCTTCAGCTACGGTGTAACTGTGGCAATCCACTGTAAACGAGGCTTCTACCTACTGGGCTCTGCGCTCCTTACATGCCAGCATGATGGACGGTGGGACCGACCAGTCCCTCGCTGCCTAGGTATGGATGGACAAATACAGGCACTTCAAGAATTATTTGAATTGCAAAAACCCAATGTTAAAACAAGCTCAGGAGACAAATGAGATAGAAGCTGAGACAGAACGAGTAAAAGATTGACATTATAGGCCCATAATGAAAAGGTTTGCCCTATTGCGAACAAGTTACAACTTTTTGGAATTCTGCAAAAAACAATGTCAACAAACGTTTGTCATGCTGAACACAGGTAGTCATAGACAGGTGGTTTTCTATTTATTTTTTCGATATGTTTGCCAAGAAAAGCCATTTGAGGAGTGAAATGGCTTGAAGAGCCACGAGAAGGAAGATGAGGAGCGAATGAGAAACTGAGAGAAAAGAGAGGGTTCTAGGAAGAAAATGGGAGGGAAGTAATCACAAAAAGAGGGCAAGAGTACGAAAGAAAGAGGATTAGAGGTTTGAGCGTGTGTGTGCTCAGAAAAAAAAGGTGAGCATGTGTCTCTTAGGGCAATATGTATTCTTGTCAGAGACCCACAATGGCCGATAAAAACATAGAGATTAAACTAGAGAGCGATAAAGTGGAGAAGGCTGATTCAGAGATGGCGAGAGAAACCCAGAGAGGCGAATGAGACCGCAGAACGAGGACACAGTAGCAGAACAAATGAGGAACTAGACAGATAGGGAGAGAGGAGAAGACACTGGTGAAGAAACAGGGTCTTATCGGAAAATTGGGGGGAGAGGGGTGATGGCTGAGGTGCAAGGAGAGGATGGAGTAATACAATTGGGGGTAAGGGGAGATATCGGAGGACCAGTCATTTGGCAGAAATAGAAAATCAAGAACAGTTTCATATCTGTCCTCCAGAAACATGTGCTCTGTAAAACGTCAATTTTTCCTTAATTGAAGAAAAAACGCGAAGATGTTTTCACTGATATCCACTGCTTCGACACTGAAATGATTTTTACTAGTTTTCTACACAGAGTTGTTTTCTAAAGTGAATTTAATTTGAGGTGAGTTATCGGTTCTCTCGCATTACTGGCATGACTACATAGTGCCATAAGCAAGCAGTATGGGTTCTGTTTAATCATGTGTGTGCATACACGTTATATAGTAAAATAACAAAACAGATAAAAAGTGTGCACCCAATGGTTAAGGTGTATACTACATAACTGCAACTTCCCCAGTTTCATTCCAGGGGGGGGGGGTGCTTTGTTTTCATCTCATATACCCCTGTCTCTCTTCCCCCCACATCTATGTGCCTACATAAAATAAAGGTAAAAATGGCAAAAGAAAAGGGATAATAAAACGGGTAAGCAAAGGAAAGTTGGTAACAAATCAATAAATGTAAAAAAATATATAAAAAGTTAAGAAGAAATATATGGATAAAAATAAGTTTATTGTTTTTCCTCCCTCCACAAACTTAATGAATGTTTTATCTGCTATCTGTGTATTTTGGACAGTAAATTACAAATTGAATTTAGTCTTTGATGTAGTTTACAGAACCCTCTTTCTTTTCCCTGTGTGTGCACTTTAACGAAAACACACACACACAACAACAAAAGAGACATTAATTCAATCCCCTCTCTTGCTGTCACCATCTTTCTTTAGCTGTCTCCTGCAGTGACCCAGCTGCACAACATAATGCAGTAGTATCTGGAATCTATAGTTAGACACAGTCCCACACACACACTAACACCATCTCTTTTAATCTCTCACTTTCTCTGTAGCCATTTCCTGTGGTGACCCGGGTGTGGCCCCTAATGCAGTAGTGACTGGAACCCACAGTTGGACATACAGTTCAGTGCTGCAGTACTCCTGTCTGCCTGGAGGGCTGCTGGTGGGTAATACTAGTTGCCACTGTCAGGAGGACGGCACATGGAGTGGAACGCCACCATACTGCACTGGTAAAAGCACACTGGTCGATTAAAGAAGCATGCAGAGTGGTTTTCAGCTGGTAGAATACCAGAGCGTCTGTTACCTTGTCATGCATTTTCATACTGGCTGTTCAAAACAGGAGCTTGCTGTGTTTTAAATCCTGAGCAATAATCCAGCATTCACACCCATTGAAATTCAACAGCATCTATATTGAGACTGCCAACAGGGAAATGTGTATCATGAGCTCACAAGAGGAAGAATCTCCTCCAGCCATAAAAACTATTGCCAAAGAAAGCTTACCAATAGTTGATGCTATACATATACAGTAGGCCATAGATAGAACAGGCTACAAAACTACAAAAAAAGCTCAATGCCTAAAATACAAACTGGGACTTTAATTTATCCATTTTCAACAATACCAAGCAGGATGTGTAAGGAACAGGCAGGGGAAACGAGGTGGAAGGGTCCTGGTTTACTTCTCAGGTTGTAAGTGCTGCTCTACAGTAGGTTTATGCAGAGCACAACACTACAACACTACAAATGATCATTTCCAAACTCAGCATCAACTGTCTCAATAGCTGAAATGCAATAAGCTTACTCTGCTGGCCTCAAAACAGAACGCTCAGCAGGACAGAATCCATCCTGCAGCTGAAGACCTCATTGAGATGCAAGGCGCTGCATTTGGAGCTGTACCCTCTTAGACTCGCAAATCCCTACCGATGGAATTTAAGCTGCTAAAATTGTGACACGCTCAGTGCTTTTACTGCTAGAACAAATGCAAAGTTCAGTTCTACCAACTTTGCATAAATGAGTATGTGTGTGTACTGTAAAGTATGTGTGTCACTGAATATGAAGGACTGAGTCGGTGAAATATTTGTGCATCTTCTGCAACAGATGTTATGAGATGACAAACATCACAAATGCTTTTTAGTAATTGTTGTTGACCTATAGCAGGGATGCTTGCCTATATTTTTTAGACTACCTCTTAGCTCAGTGTGTTACTATTTACTTACATAAAATCACTAAAACCTATTAAGAAACTAATGGACATCACTTAAATGCAGCTGTGGTTTCCCGTATCGAGTGTCTTTGATTGTCTGTGCATGTGGTTACATGTTTGTGTGGGTCTCATCTGTTCAGGATTTGTGGATGTTTCTGGGTTGCTTCAGTGCTGTCTACGTATCTAGCTGTTAGTGTGTGTTTGGTACATTAACTTAATGTCTCTTTTCTCGCTATAGGGGTAAGTCCAGGAATCTGTGGAGACCCAGGGATGCCTCCCCACGGTGCCCGTCTGGGAGGAGAAGAATTTAAAACCAAGAGCCTGCTGCGTTTCAGCTGCGAGGCGGGATTCAGTCTGATTGGCTCAGCCGAGAGGACCTGCCTTCACAACGGCACCTGGAGCGGCACACAGCCTGTCTGTCAAGGTGGGGAAGCGTGGCAATGACTTGGCGTGACTTATGTGGCTACATGAAACATTGACTATACTGAAAGAAGGAATGAAGGTCACGAGACACCTATAATGCAGCTCACACTTCAAACAGCAGACAAATCACCTTTATTTTTCAGAGATTACATTCCGTTAAATGCCATCATAGCACTTGGTTCTATAGTATTGAATATCATTAATTCCGCCTGGAGTCAAAATGGATATTTATAAGCTGTTTTGCACATTATTCTTTTTATGTGCACTCTTTATTGACCCTGTTTAACAGTAAAAACCTATTTTATACAAAGATATAGATTTGACAACATCACATTATGCTAAACATTTTGATACCAAGTTGTAACTTTCTCATTTTGAGGTTACCTTTGGGTCCCAACACAGATTCTATAAAACATTGCTATTAAAATAAACATTGCTGCAAAGATTTCATACAAACCCACAGTGCACTTGTGGCATATGGACCTAATTATTCAACATTTTATGTTAAAATATATCAGCACAGCCTCCAAAGTTAAACAGCTTAATCTTTGCTTTGGAGAATACAGTAGCATCAGGCTACTTGGCATGCTGGTGCCAGTAAGCAACTAATCCATTACCAAACATAGCTTAAAGCACATTGCTTACATTCACACTCTGCATGTACAATATATATATATATATATATTTTGTAAGCAAAGCTTGCTCCTTGCTTGTAAATGCATGCATTGAAAAGAATGTCCTTCATAAAGAAATTGCGTACAAGTAGGTATTTAAGCAAAGTTAAATGTATCCTACTGTATGTACATGTGTTCTTTAGCTGATTTTTTTATTTAATTGCTACAGTTTTTTATTCACACAACTGCCTTACACAACACAAAAACTGTACCGTTTTGCCACAAGTGGCGATCTCGTTCAAGTTCCCATAATGTAAGAGTTTTATGGAACTAGCAGTGGCAAAATATGAAGATTCAAATGTATGTGTGTGTGTGTGTGCATGTTTATATCTGTGTGGCCCAGATATAAAGGATTGAAGTGTGTCACTCCTAACTGACTGAGCTGGATCTTCCACAGCGCTGTGATAATAAAATGCGTCCTGTACAACAGCAGTTTTCAAAGACACTCTTTATACCCATGGGGGTTTAGGGGAAATTAAACTGGATCCCCATAGTGCTGTTGAGACACTGGAATCCTAAGCTGCTGCCTGTATTACCTTCCCTATTCCCAACTATGTTGGGTAGGCTAAATAAAGCACTGCTGACATTAACTTCATTGTACTGTGACACAGATTTTAGATTTGGTTGGATAGATGGGCTGTTCTATGACTAATTTAAGTGGATAGGGGGAGGAAGAGTGAATCACGTTTCAGTGTACTCTTCTATATTATTGTGTGGTTGTGACCCAAAACACCACCAGTAAACTGCATTAAGGCCACACCGACTTAAATAAGAAAAATCATCAGTAGATCTACTGTATTCACATGAATACATATTGGTGGCTGTATTTTGTGAAGTCATTTTCATCTGCTAGTTTAAATTTAAAAGGTAATGCCAGTTTTGAGGAACGTTACTATGTAGAAATTGTTCTTATAATGTGATTTTCCTTCATGCCAGGAATCCATATTTTCAGACTGTGTCTCATTATGGGGGGAAAAACTCCCAGAAAACAAAAAGAAGCAACCCTCCCCCATAAATCCGTTAGAACTGCCAAACACAGAACTCGTATTAAACAGTTTTCTGACTTGGTGACACATTGTGGTTGAGACTGTATGACAAGAAGCTACTGCATTTTACTTCCCCTATTTTGAGTCTTAGTTTGCCTACATGTACTGAATCATCAACATCAAAATCCAGCCCTCTAGTCTTACCTTTGAGGTGTGTGTCTCTTGTGTCCGCGCCAGCGTTGTGTTTGTGTAACCCTAATTATTTATGTGAGCCTACAGTTGTTTTTCATTCAGCTAATAGTGGTTAAAAGCTGATTCTGAAAGGATGAGACATCTATCACTGAGACACAAACACAAAGAAATCCATACACACACACACACATACACACACATATATACAGACTAACACTCACAGGCACAAACAGTAAACTGCTGTAGACATAAACACGCGTGGCATGCTCCACCTACACACTCTGTCACACACACACACATACACACTGATGGACTGAGCTTTTAAGGGCTCTAATTAATGAATCCCATTAATAGATGTTTGATTGTAAAAGGCTGTCAGTTGTCATGATCTTATTAGTGAAATGTGTTGTGGTTGGTTGCTCATTCCTTTCTCCTCCGTGAATTTTCTGTGCCAGTAAACTAAAGACCGATGGATCGCTAGTTTAGACAAGAGACGTAGCACCTTGCCATCTGCATTCTTGTGTCCTCCAGGACTGGGTTTTCTTACAATCTAACAGACCAGCATCCAGTAGTGGTTTGAACCAGCAGTGGTTCAAAAACAAAAATAGCTAGGCATTGACATGCTAATGTTCAGATAAAATAGGAGTAGAACAGACGTTCCCATTCAAATCAACGTAGCAGGATGGTCATACTTGGCTGTTTTGTTAGTCTGTCGCTCATCTTGTGAACACAGCACATTGTATATAGGCCATGATAATCTTTTTTGAAGACGTATTTGCAGACCTCATGTCTTGTTTTTCTCATTTTTACGCCCAACTCGCCAAACTAGCCAAATACCGACGCTTGGCCAGTGGCCCTAATGCTATGTTCAAACTACAAGCGACAAAAAGCAACAAAACGGCCAGCTGTGGTCAGCTACATTTTCAGCTACTTTTGAAGAGTTGCTCAACTGCTCGTTGACGTAGTTATGTCGTTAAACAGCACTAGGAACTGGCCAACAACATTTCTTCTAGAAGGAACCGAACAGGGTGAAACAAAAACATATTATTGGTTGACGCTTCACCGCATCATTGGAGTGCTGAAAAAAGTTGTGACGTGCTCATCTTTAATTTGTAGCGTGTCCGACAGCGCATCAGTTTGTAGCTTCATGTCACCTGCTTCTAGTATGCCTATGCTTGTAGAATACGATTCAAATTATGATGCTCTAGGTATGACTCTGGCGTCAGTTTTGGATGTGTAATAGATTGGATATTAGATTTCACTTGTTACATGCATAGTGTCATTTTAAAAAAAACGTTAACTTGTCTGACTAATGACTTTCGAGTGACAAATGAGTCACATGAAAACATTTTCTTTTAGATCCCCAAGGTACACAGCTCCCTTGTGCAAACTATCGCGCTACTACGTCGGTTGCTAACTATAACCGTGTTGCGTTGGTATCAGATGCCGAGGGGCACGGACCATCCATCCATTCTCTGAAACTGCTTTTCACCAGACTATTGCTGACATATATGTAGAGACAGAAAACATGCGGGCAATTTAGAGTCATCAATTAATGATGGGTTGATGAGGCCGAGAAAGCCAGAGAACCTGCAGAGAACCCAAGCAGAGAACTCCATCCAAGATGTAAACAAATTGGCAGTTATATTGAGCGCTCTAGATGCATTACCAGCCTCTAGCACACCACTGGAATACTGCACAGCTACCATTCAGAGCTAGTTATTAATCAGCCTCACTACCTCAAGGACATATTTTGTATTATTTCTAGCTGACTCCAGTGATACGCTCATTATTGCAGCGTACAGCTGACCAGCCTTGAGTGACAGCAAGACAAAATGGCTCACACTGATATTTTTACGATGATTAATCACCGTTTTTTTTACTATTTCTTCAATTCTCAGCTGTATCCTGTGGTAACCCTGGCACCCCAGCACACGGCAGAATTGTCTTCAGTGATGGCATCACCTTTGGAAGCTCGGTGGCTTATGCATGCTGGGACGGCTTTAAAACATCAGGCCTGACCACCAGACACTGCACAACAAATGGGACGTGGACAGGACAACCCCCAGACTGCACTGGTAGGATAGGTTTCATAGCATTGCCTCTCCTCGTACTATCACTATTGTAATTATTAGTGGTAAAAGCAGGAGGTCTAGTCATTATTGTGGAAAAAATAGCATTGGTTGAACTTGCTTCATTAGCTATAGCACTTAAGTACTAATACAGATAGTATCAGGGTTAGTATGGCATAGTGGTGCTTGTTTTAGTTAAGGATTCAAGAGTAGAAATTCTCAATTGACTGGTCAGCTGTGCAGGTACAGGCCTGTGCATGGGTACATTTGTTGTGTCTGGGATTTCAACTTGTGTAGTTAAACAGAGGTTTGGAGTTCAGGAGGAAAAGAAGCATGAGGGATGTCCTTCAGGAAAGTTAGGGAAGGCAGTCTTAGAAAGCACAGTGAATTATATTTGTGGTAAAAAGATTGGATAAGATAAAATTGATTTCTCCAAAAATGTTACTGCCCTTGTGCACTACTACACTACTGCAGGATTTCAAGAACAACACTGTAAATAATGTATTCATGACTTCTTTAGTGATCACTTGCGGAGATCCTGGCCAAGTAGCCAATGGGATCTTTCTAGGGAGGGAGTTTGCCTTCAACAACACGGTGACCTACCGCTGTAACCCTGGTCACCTGATGGAGCCACCTGGACGCAGCGTTCTGCTCTGCACTAAAGATGGAACCTGGAACCAAACCAAGCCCAGCTGTAAAGGTAAGAAAAACGAACGCCCTAAATACCTACTTTCAAAGAAATAATGGACAAGAAGAGCAGTGTTTGAGTTCATCAGATGATGCATCCACAGAAAACACTGCGTCATGCAATTGGATCTGATTTACTTCATAAGCCAGAATTTGTTGTCTTTTAACATAAACATAGTTTGCATAAACTTCTATTAAGTTAAGTTATTTTTATGAATAAAATTTGATTTATATTATGTTAACAATTACAACAAAACAAATAAAATGATTAATACATATAAAAAGAAAGAACATCAAGTAATACATTAAAGCAAACACTATTTTTTATGTTTTCGGGTTGTCCGTCTGAACGTCTGTCCGTTCTCGTGAACACGATATCTCAGGAACGCATTGAGCAAATTTCTTCAAATTTGGCACAAACGTCCACTTGGACTCAAGGTCACTGTGACCTTACAAAACACATTTCTGGCTCAACTCAATGATATGCTCATTATAGGTTAAAAAGGATTTAGTGATGACATTTTGGAGAGTAAACTGCAACATGAGTGGTTAGTGGAGGCAAACGACGGTGAGGTGGTAATTCTAGTTTAAGAGTAAATAAGCAAGTTTTAAAACGACTACAACCAACAATAATAATTTAATTAATTTTGTTTGTGTGGGGGTGGCAAGCCTTTATTATGAACATTCAATCACATTCTGACATCTCATCACCAAACAAAATTGGCACAGAAAATAACCTTTCATGTGTTTGAAGCACGAATGTCCTTTAAATCAGTCTGCATTGATCTATGAATGAATGTGGTTGATTCTTCCAGCACCAGCTGTCAACAGCTGCTTTATACTGTATGAAAAGCTTCTCCTTGAGTGAATGAAATCCATGCAGCATCTGAAGGTAGCAGAACACATCTGCAGCCATTGAGAAGTGCCGCGCTGGAGTACAGAGCTGTTACGGCCGTTTACGGCAGTCAAACTGGTCGGTTATATCTCGATATTCTGCTGTTCTTTAAGGATGAGACATCTGGTTTACAGGGAGCATCATAGCCTCTTTTCCAACTATGACACCAGTGATGTGACTGACTGAGAGAGTATATAATATTCACCACACCTGCTGATGGATATTCACCTTCACCCAGCCGTTTTGCATGTTGCACTGCTGTACATGCATGAACCAAAATAAAAGGTGTGCATGAAGACACCCACACAATCAGTGGACCTACCACTTTTAACTTTGCATTTATTTTTTAAATATCAACTGAGGATGCAAAACATTAATTTAATTAATCATATTTTTGTACCGTCGTAGAACCAGGCCTGTCTCTTCCTCTCCCACAGGGTGTGGTCACACACGTGCCCGAGGCGGTATACACCTGAAAGTTCACCAAGTTCAACTCGACGCAATGCATAAATGCATGCCGACATCATCGTAACACAAGCTCACCGAGCACAAAAAGCTAATTTCTTTCTTGGAACCCAGCGTTACTTGGATAAATAACTTTAAAATAATTACTTTGATTAATAATTACTAGTTACTGGCGAATGTAATAAGTATTGTAATGTGTTTCTAAGTAACGCATTACTGCCCAACACTGCATAACAAATAGTTGTTTGCTGCTGAATTAATACTATGAATATCCAATTTCTCACCTTTACATAACAACAATCATATTTCAATGCGAGCTAATGCGATGCTAAAAATTGACAGATTGTGACTTCAACTGTACATTAGAAAGAGGCCAAGGGAAGATTCATATTGCTCCTCACAACTACAGTGTTAAATCAGTGTTTATTTCCTAAAGCCACAAACACAAAGGGAAAATAAAAAGAACGCATTCAAATAAAAATAATTTGAGTTTTACAACAGCCCATATTTTAGAGTTTAAACTATGATACTTAACAACAGTAACAAGGAATGTTTCCTGAGATCCTCCCTGCCGTTTCTTCCCACAAACAGAAAAGCTGGCTCCTGCAGTTGCAGAGGCTTTGAACTGAGATGAAAAAACTGAGAAAGCCGGCAGAGAGGCTACTGAGGGGGAACCAGAGAGTGGTGCAGAGAGAGGGAAACCAGAGAAGTAAAAGATACTGTAGGTGGTATAGGATGAGACTGGCTCAGGAAGTTTAAAAGAGAAAATTAGAAGGACAGAGGAAGAATGGGAAACTGCTGCAAGTCATCTTTCTGTTACTTTTTCCCCCTTCTGTCCTTTCTTTTTTTGCCCTCCTTTGCTCTTCACTTTTCTCCTCCTCTTAAGTTTCTACTTCTTCTGTTCACATTCATATTCACATATTTTTGTTTAGCTCCCATGTTTCCATCCCCTCAGCTTTCTCCCACCTCAAAGCATCCACGAGTCTTCATTTGATCCTCTTTTGGAACAACAGCTTCCTCCCACACAGACATATATGCACACACAGAAATGTATTGAATATAGGAGTTGTAAGCCATAAAAGTGTAGCTTTACTAGGCGGAAAGAATCAAGTGAGGTAGAAGGAAAGGATTGAGCAAGGGAAGTAAGGAGGAGGACGGAAATGGAAACGAGAGAAAGAATGAATGAATGAAAGGAAAAATGAGTAAAGAGGAGAGATGAAGAAGTGTAGTAGAAAACATTGGATAACAAAGAGAGGAGACACTGAAAACACACAAAGAGAGTAATGCAGAGATTGAGAATGTAAGAAAATGGGGGGTGGGTGGAAGAAGCGAATGTGAAGTGGGTGAATGAAAGGGAGAAGGAGAGAATGTGATGAGCCATCAGTAGGGCTACAAGGAGAAAGCTACAGTGAAGTGAGAGAGAGGAAGCGACTGATGGGAGGAACAAAGAGAGACAAATCAATACCTGCCCCAAACCTGTAAACACACAGTGAGAAAAGGGATTAAGCCCATAAAATGTGTTGGCTGGCTGAACTGCGCCAAGAGAGATATACACAAAAGATAAAGGGAGAGAGGAAGAGGCCGTAATGGTGTGAGAAGGAGACCAACAGAGCAATGGAAGAGGGTAAAAAAGGACACGAGCTGGGACAGAAGGACGAGGAAGAAAGGTGTAGTGAGAAAGAAAATAAATGCCGGAGGGAAGCAGGAAGACAGAAAGAAAGCAGGGAACCAAAGTGGAATAAAGAACCAGTATGGAGACATGAGAGGAAAGAAGAAAAGATGGGGAGAGGGAAAGTAGTCAATGATCGCAGTGATAGAGTGAAATGCAAAGGTGTGCAAGCAGGCAGGGGCGGGAGTTACTCTTCCAGATTCATGTGAAGCCACCCTCATCTATTCACAACAAGTGGAGAAGAATGACAGGAGGAAATTAAACACTTTTTGCAAGTCTGGGAGAATGACTTTGGGGAGATGCAAGGCCTCTTTGGGACACTGCTGACATGCAAGGATATAGAATTAGTCTATATCCTTGTTATATTACTGCATTCTGTCCATAAATTGATTTCAGTGTGTGCTTATCTACTGTATCTACTGTAGCATGTATATGTTGTATGTTTCTTACTTCTCCCTGTGTGTGTGTGCTTATGTGCACTCTCTGTATAACATCGTAGCAGAGTGAATGGAGTGTGAAACCATCTGTGTCCTGGTTAGATGAGAATTACACTGACTTTATTAGATGTTTGAAACCATGCAGATGGTTATCATCATCTTAGGGAGTTAGGCACACGCACACTCAGGCATGCACACACACAGATGTTGATCAGGGTGTTATGAAGTTATATGTACAGACATCTGCGCTCATACAACTTGCTTGCATGTATGAACGCGCACCACAGGTGAGTGCAATTGTAGGTGCATACAGTGGGTTTCTTAAAATTGTGCGATGATGGCACATAAACGGTATGTTTTCATATGATCACAGACTTTGTTCTCTGTATATAACAGATGCTTTTTTAATGCGTATTCATCAATTTGGTCTGTTAGACCATTTGATATCAACATTGCTTATGTACATTAGCAGTTATGAAGTTTTCCAAGTAGCTGTATGTTTGTATGAATCATTACATACGTAAATACTGTAACAAGCCCACGTAGTGAATTTCAAGTATAAATATATATTTCTTTCTAAAATCCCCAAAGTAGGACTGTGTTTCAAATTAAGAAGGATGATGGAAAGGTGCTGTGGATAATATTGCCAGCATTTCATTTAGCAGACTTGAGGAAAACAATATCACAGTTCAATCACCAGAGTGGAAACAGAAAGCCATCACAGACAGTGCAAAACCCCAAATGCCCTTTCAGAAACTCTGTCCATATGGTGACCATGGTTTATTTTGGTTAAGCAACTTAAATGTGGTGACCTAGGTCATCCAGTGCTTTAAGACATCAAATGTCCATATGGTGATAACGGCTGTCTGCTGCTTTTGCTGTTCTTTGTTGTCACTTGATTCCATGTCTCCCATCTGCAGCCATCTTGTCACATACTATTGGGACTATATATCAGGGATGAGAGAAGGACAGCACAGGGGGCGGCTCTTTGGTCAGCACTATGTGGTGTTTTTCTGCATTTGGCTTGTGCATGCCAGGGTTGACACCAACCGCGACAAGAATACATGAATACGAAAGCATCTGGATTTGGCAACTGTTTTTTGTCTAATTCAGTCTTTTCTTCACAGGGGTGTTGTTGAAATGGTTAGTTCATATCTTGCACATCTTAAGGCTACATATCCAACAGGGACAAGAGATTTTTTGATGCTGATTTATTTTTTCTTGACTGAAGATAGAATTGCAGATGTTAACAAATGATCAAAGGAAGTATAAATGGTCACATGGTAATGGTATTATTGGCAAACTATTTGTAAAAGTACCGGTATTTGTTTTGTACTGCTAGCTGCAGTTTAAGAGAAATGTAAGTGTGCATCCAGTCTACAGTATATTGCATACTGTAGAAGCTAAGGCAAGACAGATGGGATTACATCCAACAGAAATGCACCTAAAGTCACAGCTAGCAGCTGTATTTGGAAACCGAGCACCTGGTGGAGAGAACATGCAAATGATATACAAATATATACTCACACACACACATGGTGTGTGTGTGTGTGTGTGTACTAGTGCAGATTCCGACATAGGACCTTTGTGCTCGTGAGGCAGCAGTGTAAACCAGTCAACCACCATGTGGTGCCTTGAGCTGTGTTAATATATGCCTACCTCAGTAGGTGAGCTTTCACGTGTGTGTGTGTGTGTGTGTGTGTGTTTCAGTTATCCAGTGTGGACCTCCTCCTCAAGTATACCATGGGAAAGTGGAAGGAACCGACCATTCATGGGGCTCCAGTGTTAGCTACAGTTGTTTTCATGGTTACCAGTTGTCCACTCCGGCTGTGTTATCCTGTGAGGGGAATGGGACGTGGACAGGGGACGTACCGCAGTGTTTGCGTAAGTTTAGTGGCCTTCACTACTTATAAACTTCTGCTTAGTAGCTTTAACTGATGCACATCACTTATTCCCTCTCAGTAATGTTAGCAGTTCAAACGAAGTGGAAGTCCTGAGTGTATCTGTTGTCTCATTTTAGCTGTCCTGTGTGGGGATTCTGGCTCTCCAGGTGGTGGATTCAGAGAGGGGAACATCTTTTCTTACAGGTCAGTGGTTACATATAGCAATCACTGACTTACACAGGCACTGTTTTTCATGTACATTTATTATAGGTTTCTATTAACAACACAAAGAAAATTTGCAGAAGGGCTTATAAGCTTTTGAAAATACCTGTGCTTCATTCAAATTACAGTACACATTTTGTATAGGGCTGCTGTTGCTGAATTTTTGTCACTACACCAACTCCCGGTGGGTTGCATGGATTTTTAATAACTATACCATGTGCCAACTGACATTTTGTCACTCAGACAAACTATAATGAATGCATAGAGATACTGTTGATAATAACTTAAGACTTTCTCTATGTGCTTCACAATGAATTTGTTTTGACCTCGGGAAGTGTTGTTTGTTCCACCCAGGTTATCAAATGTTCACTTGATAAAAAGATTAGACATTGTTTGACCCCAATGTCTATATGTCAGTTTGAAACATTACAAGGACAAAACTAATTTTGGTTTGTGAGCATAAAAACAAGAAAGAAGATGTGTGCCAAAGCTCTAGTGGTAGAGGGAAGTACATAAAGAGCAGAAAATGTCTTACATATCACACTCCGACCTGTCCTATGGACATCAAACCACACCTCAAATGATGAAGTGAAAACCGGGAACCCATAATTTCATATTTTCTTGTCACTTTTTTTTGTTATTCTTATATGTGTGTGTGATTGAATGTTTATTTTTCTATACAGGTCAGAGGTCAGGTTCTACTGCCATACCCCCTACTTGCTGGTAGGCTCTGCCTCCAGAGTCTGTCAAGCCGATGGCATGTGGAGTGGCCATCAACCAGCCTGTATAGGTAATTCCACCCCAAGTAACCCAAATTACCGTTGCCCTCAACCACACTATGAGTCTCAGTATACGTCCATGACGATGGTTAGCTTTAGACTTCAGCCGTATATCATACCACTTGATACATTAGCTTGTGATGTTACATTGCGTTGGATATCTAGCTTTGAAAATGCTCTGCCTTGAATTAAGTTGTTTTTGTTCAAAGCGTAAAGCTTTTTGTGCTGACTTTTTAAGGAAATAGTGAATAACGTAATCATCAATGCTCCTAACACCCTTCTGCATCACACACGCAGAAAAACCTGCTTAAATTTACAAAATGTTTCTGTAAATCTTTGAAATGTTACATATTACACTCTTCACATTTTGTTTACTGCAAAGGAAAACATGTCATGAAGTTATGAATAGAACTGTATGAAATCAGATTATTGGTAAACAACATTTGGGGGCTTACTCTTGTGCATACTTTAGCATTAGTATTCCTGTGCAGAAAGAGCTGAAGATATTATCTAATCAATAGATGAAGTGTGTAGTTTTGATTTCAGCATTTGATTATTTTTTTTTTGTGGAATTTATCTTTTTATGTTTTTTGAAAGCATGAAGTTTATTTTCTCACAAGTTGTGAAATCATAAGGAAAAAGCTGATTTACTGTGTACGAGCTGACATGGAAAGCAGCCTCATAGCAACACCACACCAGTCGCAGACGTTTGGTCACATTCTTCTGCTGCAAATAACTGTATTATCTGTCATACAGTGTATTGCTTTAAAATATATCCATGACGGTACCCATATGCCCTCACCAGTATTGAATTACTCCTTTTTTTCTTTCTTTCATTATTGCTGCTGTATGATGCTAATATTTTTTACTGTACATTATTTTAAACAAAAGAAGTAACAAAGAATTATATTATTCCACTGTAGTGCATTTTTCCGGTACCACTGCTTTACTTTAGAATTGCGTTGGAATGTATATCTGACTCAACTACATTTTCAGTGCAGAATATTGTGCTTTGTGCTTATCTGTATTTATCTGACTCAGGTACAGGTTGCTCTGGCAAAGACGGTTTTACTCTCAAAACATACTGTGCGCTAAATTCGTATAATATATAGCATTGTGATACTACTGAGGCTCTTTATACTTTTGCAATGACTGAGCACAATAGATACACTATATGCTAATCTTAGTGGAATGAGTGTAAAAGTTGATGCTACCTTGCACGGAAGCTTAAAATGTCTGTTCTGAGAACATCGTTAAGCTGTATGTATGAAATGTCAGAATGCTTCTTTGACTTTGAGAATTATTATAAAAACTTGAATCTATATTTTAATATCAGTAAGTATAATAAGTGTTTATATGTGTGTGTAGACCCAGCCTTCAACAACTGCCGTGACCCAGGAACTCCAGCCTATGGTATACCGGTCATGGGCCAGGGCTTTCAGGTGAGAAATATATCAGTTCACTGTTTACTTGGCAAAACTACTGTATAGTCTTTCAATTTACATTAAAGTTAAACTTGTCAGGAAAAATAAATTTCAAGAAACTGATGTGTATTTTGAATTTAAAAAAAAGGATATAATTAAATTGCATCTTGCAGAGTTTGGTTGGTAACTTGATGTTTTGTTAAGTAATGATAAGTACACCATGTCAGAATATAGCAGCAGGATTCTGCCACAACATGAGTTGCAACAATGTTATCAAAATGACAAAATTCATGAATAATAAACTCAAACTGAGATAGAGTGAGCCTGAGGTTTGCAATGCTCCTCAGTTGGAAAAACAAGAGCCAATCAAAAATGTTTTTTTTATTTTATTTTATCTTTATTTAATCAGGCAGTCTCTTTGAGATTAAGATCTCTTTTTGAAGAGAGACCTGAGAACACGAAACACTCACAAGGATACAAACCGCAAAACAGAAACAAAACAACTACACAATTTACAAGACTTAAAACCTGTTACAGGAAGATGATGATTAGATGATGAAGCTTTAAAATCTCCCTGGGGTATGCAAGTCTCTCGTTTTATGGCAGTTTGCAGTTTATTTGTTAAACGGTTCATAGTACCTGAAACCAGTTCTGCCAACATTAATACGATATCTAAGATGAAGTAGTTACTGGATCATGTACTGTGTGTGGTTAGTAGAGTTAAATGGCAGAAGAGATGTGAGGTAGTTTAGAAGCTTCAACAGTAGAACTTTATAAATGAATAACATGAGATGGCTATTTCTTCTCGAGTCCTTCTGTAAGGAGGTCCATCCAACCGTGTCATACAGTCAACAATATACTTCTGAAATGTGTCCTTTGTGATACAGCGGAATGCACTGTGATACACAGGGTTTAACAGCTGAAGTGTTGATGGGCAGCATGACAAGACAGAATATCTCCATAGTCAAGGACAGACATGAAGGTTTGACTGCACAATAGTTTAAACAGTTGGAAGAAGACAGACATCCTTTAATTCTATACAAGACACTTTTTTACATGCAGGTCAAAAGTAATGGCCTTGTAAAAGTGGCACCCAGATTTCTAAAGTTAGACTTTGCAGATGACCAAGTTTGGCAATGTTTTCTTGCAATGAGACCAGACTGTCTGGGGCACAGAGTAGAACCTGTTGATGGAATATATTTTAATGGAATTCAAACAAACGTGCAAATCCTTCAGTTCGTGGAGGTATAATTGGATATCATCCATATGTCATATTTCCCCTGACATCTCTTCAAAGATAGGAGGGGGTCACCACCCACATTACGCAGTACTAACAATATTACATTCACTAAAAATGACAAGCTGATAAAAGTAGGTATTTGTTGTTTCATGTTTTGTAAGATTAAAATAGTTAGCTGTGAGTTAAGGGGTCAATAAAAGTTTTTATTTTATTTTAAAATGAAACAACAACTACCCCATGCTGAGTGCGGAAGGTCTTAGGAAGCTGCGGGTAAAGATTAACTCTTAATGTGCCTTTACATCATGTAGGTTAGCAGTAAGATTTCCTTCAAGTGCCGCAAGAACTATCACATCCTTGGCTCCACCACAAGAACGTGCCTAGAAAACCTAACCTGGAGTGGGACACAACCAGAATGCATAGGTAAGAGACAACTATGTCTGTTATTACTCTGTGTACTAATATTATCTTTCCTTATCATAGTGTCTGTTAATTAATCTGTTTTGTTGTCACTGATGAGGTTTTTTTTCTATCTTTATGTTGCATTTTACTCGATAGTTATTTTGGCTTTAAGGAGAAGAATGCAATACAAGTGACAATGCTGTGTTTACTTTCCTCTTCCCTGTCACTCAGCCCATTCATGCAGACAGCCAGAGACCCCCAGTAATGTTGATGTTCGATCTATGGACCTGCCAACCCTGGGATATACGCTGATCTACACCTGTCAAGACGGTTTCTATCTGGCCGGGGGATCAGAGCACAGAACCTGCAAAAGTGATGGGAGATGGTCGGGCAAACCCCCGCTCTGTAAAGGTATTCAGATCCGATCTTGGAAAAAATGCACTGCTTGTATAAAATGAACTGATGTTGAGCCTTGAATATTAACTAGATGTCATAAGGTTTAAGTTAAATACAGATTTTCACTCTGATATTATTGCCGTGCTCTCGAAAGTCGGCGTAAGGCATTCCATGAAGGCAGGGGTGATGTTTGTTTGTTTTATCACATACTCCTATCTCAAAGACAAGGAGCGGATGGCTGCGAATACTGTGATGAATAAAAACAAAAAAAGTCAGTTATATAACCAGACAGAAAATAGACTTCCAGTTGTCTGTGTAACCCCAGAATTGACAAATGGCAATATATTTGGATTATAGATTAATCTCAACCATGAAGTGAGCTAAACTAAATGTAATGCTGATTTATGTTTCAGTTGGAGTGAAAGTCAATCCCAAAGGCAGAGGAGAGTCAGATGTCCAGAAGAACAAGATTCGAGGTATGCAGAATAAGCAACTACAGCACAGATTGTAGTACTTAAATCACAGATGTACAAACTGTATTTTCCAGAGAAGAATGGCTATTGTGGTGGGAGGATGTAGTGAGTGTTGACTACAAGGATCCTCTGTCTCGGCAAGCGGTCTTATTTCAGATTTATAGGACGAAGGCTCAGACGCAGTAAATAAATCAGTGAAAACATTCAGGTGCAATACCATGTAATACCTTGTAAGTTTGAAGTATCAATTTTATAATCAATATATGCATTTAGAGGGAGCCAGTGAAGAAAGACTAACACCAGAGAAAAAGACCAAGCTTTTTTGCAAGAATACTGAACTGAGTTTTGATTAAGTCATATTTCTAAGTGTGTAAATCAGACACACTGCAGCAGTCGGTTATGAAGGAACCAGAGGTACATGTGTTTTGTTTGTTTGTTGGCAAACACTAAGGGATGAATCCTAACAATGACCCTTTTCTTGCCATCATTTCGGTTCATTACTTTGAACTTGTGGCAGGGAAAAGTTGCAAAGGTGGTATAACAAGAATTTTGTTTCCGTTTCTCCGTTACAGTTCCAGTGGATGTGTTCGCTCCACACTCAGAGTGGAGCGGTTTTTACGAGTATCTCGGGAAAAGACAGGCCACCACATTTACAGTTACTGGGTTCAACGCTACCAGTGGCAGAGTCAACGTCACATTACTGGAAACCAGCGGAGTGTCAATCAGACTATCAGGTAAAAAAAAACAAGGAAAACACTAAAACGTTATTCACAAATTAATTTTACTCTTTGTAACTTTTCAAAAGACCTATTTTTAAGTTATGTTTTCAGAGTTTGAAAACTGATCCGATCAGTTTTCTCAGAGTAAATTTGCATCAACTTATAAAATAAACGTGAAATAGAAAATACCCTCCACAATGACCATGATCTATATATGTGGATATAGAAAACGGATGGAAAATACTTGAATTAACATGACACTAAAAGTGAATAAAATGGACCTGTTTAATAACTTCAAAGGAGCATTGTAGCACCACTATCAGGGAGGTTAAAAAAAGAGCGATCACATTCCAGATGTTGAAGACTTGAAATTCAGTGTAAATAACACAAGCACTACTGTTGGTGTGAATACCCAGCAGGCTGATAAAAATCCAGCTTTCATTCACACTTTGTAGCAAAGCATCGCTGGTAGCTATATTGAAATTGGTGCAATTCCCTATGTTGCACTTATTTAAGTACATTCACATTTTTATAATCATTCACAGTCTGCAGGGCAGAAAAACATGGTTTGTGCTTGAGTTTGAGCGCTAATCTGTTAAATAATATAACATGCAAGGGGCACTGGTTGGAATTACGAACCGCCTAACAAGTCGTGTACTTGTGCCCCTCTGCACTGATGCGTCTGAAGAATTACCACACCAGTCTGAAGGGCCACATTATCACTGTACCTGAGCAACATAACCTCCCACAGTAGTACTCTTGAGCACATGATGTGTTTTTATTCAACTGCACTGCAGATATACAGAAAATATTGTATGGAAAGAGCTGGAAGGTTAACAAAACAGGTAAAGCTGCAGTATTGAGTGAAAACCCCCAAAAGAGTAGGGTTTAACAAACTGTCTGACTCTCCTGCTGACACTCATGTATATTTTGACATTTCACAACAATATTTCACAGTCAATAGTTCAGCTTGATGCCGGGGTCTTGAAAGAGTTTCTGCAGGTAGGAGGAAAGGGCTCTGAATGTATAAAGCTGTTTCATTTTGAATCCGTGATATGGACTTGTCATGTTGAACAGCAGCAGTTTCTGTGTTGGCACTATAGTTAACCATGTAGCTAAAGGGTAAATGTCACTTTCTCCCCAGTAATGTGTCAAGTGCTGGGTGAAGGAAATAGAGGATCATAATTCGAAATGTCAAGGTGTCTCCTTTTGTCTGTTTGTCAGTCAACCTGTCTGTCTGTTTACCTGCTTCCCTGTCTGTCTGTCTTTCTGTTTGTCAACCTCCCACGGGACCTTTGCCTCAATGTCTTTCTCTTTTCCCTGCCAAGTGGCAACACAAATTAGAAGTTAAGTTGCTGTTATTTAAATGACACCACTACCTCAAAAACAATGTGTTTATATATATATATATCTGTTCATCCAGGTACCTACAAGTCAGAGGAGAACCAGCTGCTGTTGAAGGTCTACCAGGTGAAGGGGCCGACAGAGCATTACTACAGCAAGTTCAAAAATGACAACTGGGCTATGGATGGATATGTAAGACAAACTTCCTCTCATTTTCTATATCAAACATTTTGAAATGAATGCTGTGTTTACACATCTTTTTTATTGATAACAAAAATCAGTATCATAATATCAATATCACTCCCATTACAATAATGTAGCATCGTCCACACCGCATTACTCAGCCCACCCCCTCACACTGGACGGGGTTTTGCGAAAGAGGGGTATTTAAATTCATGACAAATCCTCAGTCACATTATACAAAACAGATGTTGAAATACAATAAACGTTAATTAACATTTTCTCAAATGTCTTTTCAAACAGAGAAATGATGGTGAATGATAAATCACGGCTTACCAAGAAGCATTTGTTGCAAGGTTATGTTTTTGTGTGACAACGCAAAGCATCCCACAGAGACTCCAGGACGTTACTGACCGTGCCGATAAATAGTTCCAGCATGTAACTTCCCATTACACCAAAAGATTCAGGGCTCAAATATTGTGGATTTATTGCACATTTGCTCTGTGTATTCATTATCTCTCTATGGTGTGCATAAATGGTGTGTTTTTTAGACTGTGAAAACATTGATTGCTAAGTGTGTTTAAAAGGAAAGACAAGTCAGCTTCCATGTTCCATGTAGACTTTTTAACTCCATTCGATGTTGTATTTGAAGCTGGGACTTCTGAAGATCTCTACAACTGGGGAATGGTTTAAAAATCTGATCCTGTTTGACTTGCTGACGGGGGTGGGGGGAGAGGAACAGAGTGAGGAAATTGTAAAAGGACAGAAGAGAAAGGAGGCACACAGACAGCCAATTTATAATGTTGTGAAAGACAGAAAAAGTGAGGGAGGGGAAGAATCAGGCTGGCTTAGTTGTGATTTCTGAAAAACAGTCATTCTACAGTTGGAAGATACAATTTCAACTATAGATTTATGGGTAAAAGATTGCTGCTTCAGTCTCCAAACAAGATTATGGTGAGGAGAGGAAAAGAAGAAGAGAGAGAGAAAGGCCAAAAAGTACAGGAGGTGGAGAGACACTGTACTGTCAATGAAGAGAGAAGACAGGGTGAAACCTTAAATTTACAAATACAAAAAAATAATAGTTCATTGAGTTTGAACAAATGAATGCATGCCACAATACTATGACATATTTAAAAAATCACATTAGTTTTTACTAAATGAGATTTAGTCATAATTCATACTGTATTTAAAAAATAGAGACTGTATTCCTCAAGGATGACAACTGTCAGCGCGATGTTGTCGCCCTCTGTAGTCAACTGAAAGATTGCGTTCTTTGAACTTGCTCATGTTTTCGGTGAAAGGAATATGTCCCTTTTGCAGATAACGAGTGTGAACATGAGCGTCGTTAACTGTCCCAAGCATTAATTAGCGTCGTTAATGCTTGGTTAATGCAGTTAACGACGCTCACGTACTGTGTGGCCGGCTGCTGCCATGTCTAGGGCAAGTGGAGACATATCAGGCACTGTCTATTTCATCCCCACTTTCAAAGTCTCAAAGTCAACTTGAAGAGCAAGTGCGTAGTTGTGAGCGCGTAGTGAGGGTTGAGCCCCGTGCTCGTGGGACTGAATTTGTGCAGAAATCATGTGTTGTGATGATGCTTTTCTTCTCGCGGATACTGTCCCGTGCGCTCATACAACGTACACACGCCTGTTTTTCATGTACGTGGGTTTTGAGACTAGTTTCAAGTTCTTTATTATCAAATGCACTACAATTAAAAGGAAGTAGTCGCTGGCTCTTGAATATCAGGCTCCCTTCAACAATGCTCATTAAATATGTACTGTATGTATGAAAAAAGAAAATCACACAAGTAAAAGTCAAATAGACATGAAAGTGAAAATATAGGGATAAAATATAGACATGTATGAAATTAAGTAATACAATTTTTTTCAAATGGATGAAATGAAATGTAACAGGAATGTAGTAAGTACATGCATAATGAGAACTTCATTCAGTTCATTTGAATCTGTGGGATCTGAACTTTGAGCTAGCTCTTTTTAAGTGTGAACGCTGCAGGAAGGTAATTACATATTCACCTGCCTTAAAATATGTTTAAAACGTTGTCACCCTACAACCACAGCTGTCTTATCCTATGTGTGATCAATAAGCCACATCTTCACACTTTCATTACACATACCTTCCCAGCGGCGTCCTGCTGTGGTTTTGATTGACAGAATTGAAGTTCATCCATCATACTCTACTTCTGTGTCAAACACTATTCTGCAGTACTTTGTACCACCATCACATTATCCTTTAATGCTGAGAGAACTTTTACAGTATCTCTCCCTGTTTGTTCAAGAGCTCATATAAACCTGTAGTTAACTGTATCTCTAATTTAGGAAAACCAGGGTGACCGAAGCCCCCGTCCATCTGAATGGAAAGTGTATAACTTATTATATAAACTGCAATCTGAACACTGAATGCGTTGTTTTTTTCCAGGTTACTGCAGAATCAGATCAGAAGACTTTTGTCTACCAGGGGCATATTCACAGTAAAGACTTTGGCAAGTTTCATCTGACAAGGCAAGGTATGTCTGTCTAACATCAGCTCTAATAACAACCACAACAAACAACACAGCCTTGATCTTCCTATTACACATTGTCATATTGAGAGTGGGACTAAAACATTCAGACAAATTGAAGAAATCTTATTGAAATGTTTTTGTTAGTGTAATGTAAAATAATTTTATTTTCAGACAGAATAAACACGAGAGTTCAAATATACAGACAAATAATACAAAAAGCCTCAATTACACATACACAAAAGGGTGTTTATGTGTCCATGCATGTGAGGGTTCATATGTGTTTGTGTCCCCAGGCCCTGTAACAATGGCGATGGACCCATCCAACCCCTACACAAACAGCAGCTCTGTGGCCGCAGCGATCCTGGTTCCTTTCTTTGCCCTCATCCTGTCTGGATTTGCTTTCTACCTCTACAAGCACAGGTAAGCTATATCCTCAATGTAAATCCATCATGTGAAAACAGACCACCAGCAAACTAGAATACAAAGCAGCTGTTTGCCCTGTTGAATTATGTCCTTATGCAGATACACTTTCATGATTCTCAGTGCATTTGAATGGTTTCTTTGAATGTACATTTTTTTTCAGTGCAGCACGATTCCCTAATTTCGTCATTTATTTCATACGTTTCCTTGGAACCTCCACTCTCTATCTTATTTTATGTTTTGGTGACCAGAGGTAGAAGCGCAGCCCGGCTGCAGGACAGACAAGTAGGCCGGAGACATTGACAGCAGTTAGAGTTGCATTGCCATGACACCTTGGCAGTTTCCATACGGGCCAAATGTTATATTAATCCATTGCTTGCCTGAATGTGCACCTCCCATAAAGAACACATTTAGACTTTTATATATCTTACAAGCAATTGTGGAGGACACTATAGTCACCTTATAATCTAACCTTGTACGAATCTTCCTTAATGACATTGAGGATTGTGTACTGATATCAGTTTAGATGCGTATGAGATGAAAAATAACTAAGTGTATTACCAAATAGTTGTAGGCAGACAAGTAAGATACTTGCGACCTTCCAAAGTGGAAGTCCATCAGCATGTGTTCCTCTGCCAAATTTGCACCAACATCAAAATAGAGCCTGTGTAGTAAAGAGAGTAATGATGTGTTTTTCTTTGAAAACGTCATTTTTTTAAACATAATTATAGCTCCAAAACTCAGAGCGCACCATGAAGATTAAATCTAAATGACCTTAGATATTAATTATTGTTCCTAAAAAGTGCACAAAAGACTCGCAGTGCCCTAAGATGGCAGATAATACACAGCTACGTATATTGAGGGTAAAATGTCATCATTCATGTTTCCTATTTAAGATTCTACATCTACGGAATGTTCTGACTTTTGAACTTCATCACTCAAAGTTTTTCTATCAACTATAGTCATTATTGTACGTTAATCCGTTGGTTCGCCATTTATGCTAGCTGTATGCTGCAGTACTCTATCTGCAGTGAGACATGTAGAGTCCTGACCTATTGATGTTATCGAGGAAACAGACTGTAATGTGTTGCGACTTGTGAGTAATGAGCTATGCTGTAAATTCTGTGAATGCCAAGCTGGTGACTGCTGTCTAGGGCCAAGCAGACTTACAGAGATATTTACAGTAAAGTTAGCACAGTTCACCAATAGCTACTAACACTACCATTGTATTACTTTACACTGTGTTACACAACCTGCTCACCAGTTAACAGTGTGCAATGATAGCTGATGTATATTAAAGCTGATGGTTGTATGCAGGACATTGTCTGCTGACACAGATGACAATGAGAGACCAAAAGACACCTGGGGGCCTGGCGGCAGGTAAGACTGGCACCTGTTATTCACCTGGTTTCAAACAGCAACCAGACCTCCGCCCGCCGCCACATCCTCCGTCAAACTTGTCATCCGTTGTTTTTAGTTTTCCGATTTTGCTTCATGCTGTTTCGTAAGGCTGCACAACTGACCAAATTTGAATTCTAAGTGTTCTAAACTGAGCTAAGTTGTGTGTTTTTGTCCTACACTGTTTTGTATTAGTCGAAAATATAATTAAAACTTGTAAACCAAAATGTATATTAATTCACAGGGAAATTGAACACATTGACTCCTCATATCAGCTAAAAGTAATAGAGGTGACATATAGCCTACAGTATATTGTAAAAGCAGTGCAGCCCTACTGTGTCAAAACAGCAATCATTTAAAGCTAGAAAGAGATTTATTTTGTCTTTGATCTCACTGTCATCTTTCTGTCAACATGATGTCATCAAGAACAAATACAATATTGAATAAAGTAGACAAGTAATGTATACAGTACTTCAATATGTTTCTACTGGCACTTCATCCTGACTTGACAGTAGGTGTGTGGTAAAGTTAGCTTTGCTGACATTATGCCCTAGCCCAACATAATGGCAAGCCAACAGCAATGATTTCTCTGTACAACAATATAATATCGTAAATGAGAAAATAAAAGCAAGGAGTGTGCACACTGCAGTTTCTTCCTGCTTTGGCTCTATAAGTCTGTACAGTATCTATAATACTGTCAAAGCAATTATGTGAGCTGTTTTTCATTCTGCCAATAAAACTAAACTATTGCACCTACAGCCACAACCAGAAACGAGTGCAGCGATTTGAACTACTACCACGTAGGGGGGGTCTGCGGTGTGTGTTGGTGTGTGTGCAGTTTTGTAAAGTAATGGGTTGAGCATGTAGGGTAGGCTTAGTGGCTCCCCAGGGTTGGATACGTACACACACACACACACACACGCACACACACACACTCTTAATGAGGTCAGAGTCAAACAGTGTTTCAGCTGCAGCACTCCTCCCTGCTAATAGTTCCACAGGGTTTGGGAGTAAGTGATTATATCTAACTGGATTATAGGACCTGATTATCCAAAAATGTAATCTGTGACAAACAGACGAATTAGGACAGTTAGTCATATTTCACAGAATATCTCTTTGAACCCCTGCAGTGAAATCCTCATTCAGGCAGGTTGAGTGATAATATATTCTTTTGAACTAAAACCATTGGGTATCATATTCAGGATGATGGCAGGTTACACACTCGCATGAGAGCAGCAGATGGGCTCTGGGCAGCTAAACCACCGAAGCAGGCAGTTGTAATGGTTCATGTTCTCCGTCCTGCCATCATTTTCTCTGCAATTTGTAGAATTTTACCAGAACCCTGCTCTTACTAAGGTTTCGCCTTTAATCTCTAACAAGACAGCCAAAGGGACAGATAATGTATATAAATATTACAAGAGGACTTTTTTTTAAATTAGTTGTAGAACTAATAGAGACAACATAACATAGAAATATAATCAATACTCTGTTAATTATAATAAATCTATACCCCTACCCCTATGTAAAGGTTTCTCTGCATGAGTACAAATGGAACATTCTGCTGTTCAGTAATTCTTGAACTCATACATCCTTCACACCTGTGCTTTTAAAATCAGGGATGTTAAATATGACATGTAATGCAAACTATAACATGGTGTGTGTAGTCTGTCTCATCTTGAAGTGTCGTGTGGGCTTTTCAATCAAATTAATGACTTAACAAATTCAATACGTGTCGCTTTCTTCCAATCAGCTAAAATTGTTTTACTGATAGCTTTATAAGGACATTTTGCAACAGTTCTGGTTCAAAAAGGCTCCAAAACATTTTTTTATGGGAGAGTTGGTGAGAGCTAATATATATTGTATATTAAAACAAAGGCATCAGAACATTTGAGCAACTTAATCTCGCTGTGCTGTTCTATTTGTGTTTTTATTGTCATTTAGTGTTTTAGAGACCAGCACCCTTTTGGTTTCAGTGTTTTCTTTTTCCTAACCATAAATCGACCTTTTCTAAAGATCATTGTTTTTTCACCATTATTTCCTTCTCATTTTGTTTTTCAGGACGCGACCCAAGGTCCAGTTCAACGGCTATGTCGGCCATGAGAGCTCCAATGGTCAGGCATCATTTGAAAACCCAATGTATGACACCAACATGAAGCCCACTGAGGCAAAGGCAGTTCGATTTGATACCACACTCAATACAGTCTGCACTGTGGTATAGTCCAACAAACCTGCCACTACCTATACAGTGGTTTAGTCCAACCTCCCTGTTGGTCTGCGGGGGTTTGACAGAAAAGAAAAGAAAGAGCAAACTAATGATTTGGACTCGTCACTGTGAGCGGTCTGTGTTGTAGCACGCTGGTCCTCTGTCAGCACAATCTGCACAGTAATGCCGCTCTGCTCCACCTGCTACCTGAACAACGATACCATCCACTTGTCCCTAGAGTCTGTTCCAGCAAAATAAATTGGAACCAATACAAAAGGGAGTAGACAACGACGACATCAAAAGTGATGTTCGGGAGATTAATGCTGGGACCACAAGTCTTCTTAAGCACTGTTGCTTTTCAGGCATCAAGGAAAAACACAGAAAGATTAATTAATTGAACTTTTTCCAAGTGCGACCACCCCTTTGACCCAGTTCTCATCCAGCATCAGTTGACTTCTGCAAAATTTGACCCCACCTGCTCGTGAAAAGGGCTTTATATGGCCAGTCATATGGTTCCTAAATGCCCTTCCTGCAACCTGAATAATTGTTTACCCAACCTAACGCCATACCCCATGCCAAATTTGCACAGTGGTACACACTAACTCTTAACTTACCTCCCCTTAACTTAACTCCCCTGCTGCAGGCCAGACATGTGTGACCGGTGCAAGGTTCTACCCTCAGGGGAAGCACACTATTCCACCCTTCAAATCCCCTCCAGACATCGAAAAGTAGTTGGATTGTTCCTATACGTCAACACAAAAACCATCATTGGTGCTGGACCAAAAAACTCTCGCTGGATTTCCATCACGCTGGACTTGACAGGACTGGACTCTCTGACCTAATTACAGCTTACAGAGTCTGTTTTGGTGGAATCTGATATCGTTCGTACAGACTGCTGTAAAGTTGACCAACGAAATGCAGTCAATGCAGTGATAAGCTCAACCAGACCAATTCCTTTTAATAAAATGATACTCTCATCCAGTACTGGATACTAGTATTACATTAGTACTTTGCGTACTAGAGTTAAATAGCAGCTGCAGATATGTTTAAATTTTGTTTTAGCCTACTTGGAGAACTGAATGGGTTAGGTTTAGTAAAGCCGTACAATAACAGAGTTAGGTAAGTTGAGTTGTCAGTCAACAATGAATTTTCAAATAGGTTCCTGTGATTTTCTTTACCTTCTGCCACTTACTGTATTGCCTATTATGACAATGTCTACCTACAGTATTTGACAACTTGTGTAGGCTAAAACATACCAAATCAGGCATTTGTAACTGCTATTTTTCCCAGAAGAACCTGTGTATGAAGGTATTACATACTTAAAATCAATCCTATGTACAATATTTCATACTAGCACTAGGCAGACTGTGCTAAACCAGAAAACCAGACATTTTCATTGCCGGGTTGGTGTACACAATGGACCGGTTTCCAGAGGCCTGTCTAACACAATCAAAGTGTCAGACAACTGATTGTTGTTCTTGGACTAGCCAGGATCCTGTGCTTGGTGGCTGAACAAGTGGAAGCCTGGAGGCAATAAGCTGTCAAGATCATCAACCGCTACAATCTGCTGTGGCCAAATCCAGGAAATGATTTGTTTTCTCATAACTCCGTTGGGATTATCAGTCAAGTGATGACGGATTTTTTTTTCCTACAGCATACTCTCCAGCCACAAATCATAAATAGAAGAACGTATTAACAGACGGACGGGTTGACTGACAGAAATTAGACGGACGAACACAGACAAATGGACGGATAGACGACTCTGTCAGTCCTGCTGAAAAAGAGAGAAAATGACAGGTTGCTATGGAAACTGAGACAAATAGTTGTCTCTATTGTCTCTTCTGGCATTTTTCTTCAGTGAAGATATTGATGAACAGACTCTATGTTCAAATACCCAGTGGCCCCATGGTACTTCCCAAACCACTGCTGCTGGGGGACCCCAAAATATAAACTTTATATGAACTCTTAAACCGCACAAATTTTGCACTAGTGTGTTTTTCTGACTGGGTTATGAAAAAAAAAAGAAAAAGAATAATTTTTGGGTCTGAAATGGGTTTGAAAACGAGTCATTCAAAAAAGAGAATTTTATTCAGAAACTTCTATCTTTAAAAAGATGACAAAAATGACAAAATACAGGGTTACAGTGTGTTTGTATATACACATCTATATTTCACCTTCCCTGTTAGAAGGTGTGACCACATGCTATAAATCGTTGTTAATTTTGTTGCCACGACAACATGCTAGCCAACCAGAACGTTGGGATCAGTGTACCCGCAGACCTCCGAGCTTCTAGTGTCACATAATGACACCACTTTCTTTCTTTTGCCATTTTTAGAACAATACAGATTTTTTTCCTGAAAGCTCATTCTGAATACTGTTACTGCTGCGATATGTCGACGACATAAAGGCTCACATCCATGATATGCAGTATGGTCCTACTGAAACACTGGTGCCACATTGCTAGTTTTATTTACAGGCATTAAATGCCATTCGTTTCTGAGATACTGTACAGAACCCTTGAGGTATACTTGTTAGTACGCAGAGATTTAATAGTATCTCAATATGGGCTATTTTGTTTCAGTTTCACAGACAGTGTAAGCTTTCAGAAACAAAATGTTTCTTTAACTCTCTTTAAAAAGATGTGTTGCAAGTGTCCCCGACTACTCACACTATCATACATTCGAACACATTTTACAGATCTGATGCACATGATCTTATTTCAACACAACTTTTTGAAGAGCCCACAGCTTATTTCTGTTTGAGAATTGGTCATGTTGAAGGACTAACAGAAACGGTACGAAGACGACATGCACAATTATTGTTGTCGAGAGTTATCGCCCCCCGGAACTCCGCCATTGTTTGAGAAATACCTCGTGTGCAGAGAGTAAGTTACATCCTGCTTATCAATGCTTGAATCCCACTGCAACAAATACACAAGCTTAGCGAGTGCATCCTTGCATTCAGCTTATTTCCTGGTATTTTAAGTCAAAAAGTCGTACCAACGCCCATGATTCTGTAGGAGTCAAGAAAATCCACTAGCTTCTAATCACTTGCCAAGCTTGTTATTTTTCGCAGTGTTCTCTCAAAATAATTTTATTTTTTCGAAAGATGCTGCACTTGGTTTAGATCACAGATGTAACTGCTTTCAGTGCGTGTCTTTCAGTGTCCTCAGGCCTGTTTTTTGTTTGTTTCACTCTCCATGCACACTATTCTGCCGTTACACTTCAGGCGTTTCCTTTAACTTGCATGATTTTTACTGTCCAAAATAATTTTCGTTTATGTTCTCCATCTCATTCAGCCTCAAACCATTATACTATCATACAATCACAAATCCATTCATTCACACATATGATATCAACAACCCTGTCTCCTATAAAATTATATTCCCATACAACTGCACTTCCAACTTGAATGATTGAAAGCCCTGTGTGTGTGTTTTTTAACCATCCACTATCCGGGCCTCATACCCACATAGATTTTCACCCACTCATTTGAAACTTATTTGTGATACATCAAAAGCAGATGTAATCCTCGACAAAATACACTTCCCTCGAAATGTAATTCCCAAAGCAGCTTTGTTGTATGGGAATGTAATGTGTAGGCGACAGGGCTGGAATGGTGAGTGGAATGTATGTGGTGTCAGATAAGGAAAACTTCTGACAACTGATAGAATTATGATTTTTGACCATGAATCAATTCACTAACATCAGAGGGGATTTTCCCCAAAACTGAAATACTCAAAAGAAAAACATTTGGCATGAGAAGATTATCACATCCACCTATTTAGAAATAAGTGAGAATGAATTAAGGCATAAATTGCAGTTTCTATTTTCATCTTTAGCTCATTTAATTAAAAATGAATCTACGGCTGACCTGGATGTTGCAAATGAAATGTCCTGAAACAATGGTGATTATGTTTGGGAGCATGACTATGGGATATTGTTGGTATTATAATATTCATTGTTAGCTTGTCATTCACAGCCTCAGTGTCAGGGTCATGGGCAGAAAGCCAGAAACACGTACAACAATGTGAGGCACAGAAACTAAAGATATGTAGATGTGTGTACTAGCTATAATACTGGTAATAGTTAATAAAGAGGGTGACAAGACAGAAGACACACATTCAAAATCGCCTCACAGAAATAAACAAGACATCTGTAAACAACAGTAGAGCGTCTGCTCACAAGATAGTGGGCCTCCTCTCTTTTTATTGCTGGCGTGCACCCGAGCTTCTACTTTAATTGATTGGATTAATTCAGATGAGATTTCCTATAGAGTCAAGAAGGAAATACAATACAGTGACTTCATCTGTTTATGGATCAGTATCCTTCTTAGCATGACACATACAGTACCTCCTCTGAGATGCCTTCAAAATTTGGATATCAATCTTGACTTTCTTCACAATTTGTGAAGCGTTTTCCACATTTGTCCTTCATTTGTCAGCAGTCCTCAACGTTTAATAGAGCGACAGCTGGCTACAAGTAATAAAAAAAATACCCACTTAATTGTTTTAAAGGACAAGGTTGTCTCAGATTATTCAGCTGAGACTTTTCCCAGTTTTTGTGAATAACGTCCCATACTTTCTCTAAAGTGGTATTGTCAGCAGTCCTCATTGAAACATAGGGGCCGAGGTGTCTGCAAGCTTAAAATAATACCAGCTAAAATTGTAAATGTTGCACATTGCCTTTTCACAGTGTCACATGAGATGAGCTTTTTTATTTAAAATACAGAATAGATTTAATGCAGATGTATGTAAATTCCACCAAGCTGAACTTTTCCTTTAAGATTAGTGTCGGGGAAATCCAGTCGCAGCCCTGCTTGGAGAGCAACTGTGTCATACATGTGTTCATATGTGGCTTATCAGCTATATGGACCTGATTTTTATCTGTGCTCAAATGTTATTGCCAGATGGATATCAGGCCTTTCTGTGTGTGTGTGTGTGCGTGTGCGTGCGTGTGGTTTGCTTTCAGGTTCAGTTTGCAGTGTATTCATATTAAAATGTTCAGTATTGCCCTTGACAGGCCTTTGTGTCACCTTCTTCTCAATAGTTTGGATTGGACAAACTTCTCATGCCATACGTTCAGCATTAGAGCTTTAAAGAAAATCGACAACCTTGTGTGTCTGAATTGAGCGTGAGTTGACTGCACCCTTGTTTCACTCATCAGTGCAAAGGATGAATAATTGTCATTTCTACACATGGCAGCTTGTAGATTGGGACACCACTCATATATGTGTTATATTCACACGTTATGGTGACGGGATGCGTTCTCAGCAACACATATTTACATGCAGTAAGTAAGTTTGTTGCTCATGAATGTGTAAAAAAATATTGTTTCATTTTTGTTCTTCCAAATGGCACATAGATATGTCCTCACCAGGAAGCCGCCATCATCATTAATGATTTTGTGTTGAGCATCACAATCACCGTCGTTATCTCACCATCATCATGTGCTGCTGAACTTGAAGTAGGTGCAAAAGAAAAAAAAAGTTTTGTACAGAAATCTATTTTTTATGGAGAATTTGTAAAAAACAAAAACAAATTATTAAACATGCTGTACTTTTTATGATTAATGATGTAGGTACAACACAATCTTGTTCATTAAAGTCAATGTTTTTACTGTTACACACCATGTAAAAATCTATGGTTCAAACTGAATATCAAATATCAACATGTCATATGATCTCTTTTGTCCATTATGGCTGCTTTTACACAGGAACAGAAAACATTGTGGGACTCAGAGTAAATTATCTTTGTGCTGGAGAGACACTTATCTCTGGGTCACACCTGTAAAAAGTTTTGTATTCACAATCCAAAACACTTTAGTAGAATACAAGATGTGTCAGCTCCAACTCTGCTGCAGCTTGGTGCCAGTAGTATGTGTTACTTTTGAACATCAACCTTTTTAAATCTCCATTTCTTGCAAAAACATGGTTTATTATGTGACTTTTAATGTGGCAGCCGTATCTCCGAGTTGCCTGAGCATTGGTGAATTCTTCCATTTAAACATGTTATACATTTTTTTTAAATTAATTTTAGACACACGTAATTTACATTGAACAAAAAATAAACACCATATGTTACGTTTCACAACGTCATGAACAGTATTAAAAAAATGCAGTGTTCTTGTGTAAAAGCAGCGGTGAGTGGCTGATCCTAACGTCTATATCTGGGAGAGGGATGACCTCCACAGACACAAAACAGACATTTTGGATGACTTGACCCTTATAATGGCCTAAAATCTGACCTTATATCAGTCTAAACAAGGAGGAATATGGTTCTCTTTGTTTAGACATGATGGGTTTAGAGTGGAAGATGAAATTGTGGGGAATTTAGGCTCTAACAGCAGCATTAGCATATCGGCCATTTTGGATGCTCCTATTTTGATTGGTAAAACAATGCTCTAAGTTTTGAAGTTAGGATGGAAAATTGCCTTTTTCTGTCCTGCCATGAGAGAGAAACGACATGGAGTCTTATAAATGGTTGAACAACAGATACTATATGTGAATGCAGCTTCACAACCTGCTGTTCAAGAGAATCACAGTTTATCTATCAGCTATTTTGAAAACATTATTTGAGAATAAAGTTTTTGATACAATACTCTCTCCTTTGTACCAATGTTTTTGTACACCGCTATCCTGATTTGTGAACTAGTCTTTGGGATGATTTTGTTTGGTTGAATATGATCAATTACAAACACAGAGTCAGCCTGGTGCCTTTAGTCCTGGTTTGAATCCGGCCTGCCTGGTTAAAGCCTCTCTGTGGGCATGTTTGCTTCGGTTTCCTCCAGGTGCTACAGTTTCCCACACAGTCTAAATATATACCCGTCAGGTGAGTTAATGTTATTGTTTGTTATTGTTTGTCAAGGTTTATTAGCCCTCTAAAATACTTTTCCCAATACACCCTGCCTCACACGAAATCCATGTTGGGATAGGCTACTGGATGGATGGATGGACACACTGAAATACAGGCTCATCGAACATAGTCACTATGGACTAATTGCTTAATTTTGAATTTACAGTCAAACCCTTGTGCAGGTTGGTCATTTCAATTAGGAGCACTTTAATCCTGACATTAATAAGGGATAATCCATGGCAAAGTGTGAGCTAAAAGAACCGTATCTTTGCCTCTGCATTGTGTGTATAATAATCTACACTGGGTCGTTCAGTTGCTGATAGCAAAGTATGTGAAGGTTTAATTACTGCTAACTAGCTGTAGGGATTGGAGTGGATTATCTCATGTATCACATTGTGACAAGCATTGGTTTCTAATATTTTGTTATAGTACGCTCTTTAAATTTAATTGTCACCCTTAAAACAAGTGTTCCAAGTAGTACACTAACAAGTGTAAGCTATTCTCCATATACGACGTATTTCCACCTCTACGTGCACACACCATAGTCAGACCCTAAGCCTTTGAAAGAAAAGTTTCAAATGTCTTTACATGACTTGCTATTTTACCAGAATGTTACCATGGTTATGCAGGTTGGTCAGAAACTTTGGCACCAGCAAATCATATCAGGGAGAAATTGAATACACGAGATTCACAGGTAGAGAGATTCCATCAATGACTCGTATGAAACTAGAGAAGGAGAAAGCTGGAGCGGTGAAGGGAGAAAAGCAGCACGACCAGTCAGCCGCAACATGTGACTCATGGTTTAAAAGAAGGGGCTGAATGATGATGGATGAAACTTTATCTATACAGCATCTAACAAAACAGGGTTACAAACTGATTTACAGGAGAATACGGGATTACACATTTAAAGACCTAAACAAGAAATAAAATGCACGGAACAAAAAATAAATAATAAGTAATTATAGCAAATTATTTCATTAATTTAAAGGACAACGAAATGTAACAGAAAAGACAGACTGGAGCAATACAAATGAAACCTGACATTGATAAAAGGCTTCAACCAATGAAAATATGCCAGTTAATGTGTTCTGTCTCTTGAATTTGAGAGGCTCGTCACCCCAGCTGATGCCATCATTATAAACTCATTTTCTATTTAAAATCATTTAGGTTAAATCAAAGTTTCTGTGGTGATCCAATATTTTAGATCCCAAAAAGGATAAAAAATACAATTTGGAGAGAAATGTAGAATACAATGCACAATACTTTCATATTCTGTCGGTGCAACCATGAAAATGTGGCATCTTGGGTCAATATTTTATATATATGTGCAGAAATATGTGTCACTAGAAACTGAATTTGAATCGCTCAACTTGAATAATTGCATTAAAGATGAATTGCAGTCACATCATTTTAATTTGTACTGTTTAATTTCAATAATTGCATTGAAAAACTGAATCTTGAAAGGCCTAATCCTGATTCATACATAACGTGTCTAATATTTATTTTCTTCATCCTCTTCATATAAAGAATCATAAGGTTTTGGAGTTTAGCTGAGTTAACGTTATTGCCATTTCAAAATATTGTGAGAAACTTGACTTGGTTAGCTAATTACGTAACGGGACAACAGGTTGAAGGAATATGTTTGGGTGTTCAAATCATTTTAATGTGCAGTATTGTGCTTCAAAGTCATCGCTGTCGTGGCATAGAATATAAATTAAGGAGCACAAATGATTGATATAATTAATCTGCAATGACATTTGTAGTAAAAGACATATTGTTATTGTTATAAGTGTGAACAATAATGAAGACTTGACACATGATTCACCCTCGCATTGACTGACCCGTGATCTAGCTAGCTGATGTTTAACAACAGCACGTTTCACTTTTCGCTGACTTAAGATGCTTTCTTCATTTGAGGCAGGAAGCCCAGTGTTATGCAGCCGCACCCTGCAGCCTTGCACCATCTCAACTTTAAGGGAAATATGCAGAGATGCAGTGATAATTTAACCCACCAGCCTGCGCAGAGATCGCCAGTTTTACAGTCGGTGGTTTTCAGCAAGTTAACTGCATGAGATTACACTCCATCCACATAACGCAGGGGAGCTAATTATTACTACGAAACAGGGCTTTTATCCGCCAGCCAAAACACAAAGTGATGACATTTTTAACTTTCTGATGCCACCACCTTAGGCTAAGAAATACTATAATACTTTAATAGTATGTAATGCTGCAATATCAGATTTGAAATATGATATAATCCACTAATTAAGAAACTGTTTTGATTGACAGAGTAATAAGAAGCTCTTATCAGTACAATTTGAGATGTGACAGCTTTAATGGCTCCTTCAGCAGTTTTTCAGATCACTGTCACAGAGACACTTTAACAATCATTCTTACACCCGTTCAAAGAGAAAGAAAGTAACAGAGACATGAAACTGTATCACAAATAAAGCACCATGTCATTTTATCAGTATAATTAATCTGGTCATTAACATTTACTTGGTGATATGGAATTGAATATGGAATTGAATATTTTTATTTGTCTATTTCAGTGATCTCTGTGAGCGTGCATTGACTGTGCAAAACAGATGGTCTTCACTGATGCTTTGTTAAACTGATCTGAAAATTCAAAATTGTTTCTTTGTCAGTTGAAACAGAGTAAAAGCGAGCGTTTGTAACATCACATTTCCACTCATTTCCACATCGCGCAAATGCTCTGTATCTCATACACACACACACACACACACACACACAGCTACACACACAGATGTGCTGTGTTTGTGTATTAATTGCATCTCACAGGATCTTTTATACTTCTGCCTGTCAGCATTACAAACTCTTTCCCATTTTAAACAGTGATATTGTTCATATAGCCTGGATCACAAGTTGTTCATTATTACTGTTGCTTGAGATTATTTATTGTTCTTAATTTTTAAGTGTTTCAAGTTTCTTAACTAAAATACAGATAGACATCACCAACACATAAAGACAAAGAAGTGTCCTTAATATCGTTTTCAGGTATTAACCTTCA